TATTTTCTCACCCATCTACACACAATACCCCATAATGACAAAGTGCACACATGTTTTTAGACATTTTTGCAAATGTATTACAAATGAAATACAGAAATATTGAATTTACATAAGTATTCACACCCCTGAGTCAGTACATGTTAGAATCACCTTTGGCAGTGATTACAGATGTTAGTCTTTCTGGGTAAGTCTCTAAGAGCTTTGCACACCTGGATTGTACAATATTAGCATATTATTCTTTTTTAAATTATTCAAGCTCTGTCAAGTTGGTTGTTGATCATTGCTAGACAGCCATTTTCAAGTCTTGTCATAGATTTTCAAGCTGATTTAAGTCCAAACTGTAGGGCACTCAGGAACATTCAATGTCGTCTTGGTAAGCATTGCATATTTGGCCTTGTGTTTTAGGTTATTGTCCTGCTGAAAGGTGAATTTGTTTCCCAATGTCTGTTGGAAAGCAGACTGAACCAGGTTTTCCTCTAGGATTTTGCCTGTGCTTAGCTCTATTCCATTGCTTTTCATTTAAAAACACTCCCTAGTCCTTTCCGATGACAAGCATACAAATAACATGATGCAGCCACCGCCATGTTTGAAAATATGAAGAGTGGTACTCAGTGATGCGTTGTGTTGGATTTGTCCCAAACCTAATGCTTTATATTCAGGACATAAAGTACATTTCTTAGCCACATCTTTGGCAGTTTTACTTTGGTGCCTTATTGCAAACAGGATGCATGTTTTGGAATATTTTTATTCTGTACAGGCTTCCTTCTTTTCACTCTGTCATTTAGGTTAGTATTGTGGAGTAACTACAATGTTGTTGATCCAGCCTCCGGTTTCTCCTATCACATCCATGAAACTCTGTAACTGTTTTAAAGTCACCATTGGCCTCATGGTGTTAGGAAGGACGCCTGTATCTTTGTAGTGACTGGGTGTATTGATAAACCATCCAAAGTTTAATTAATAACTTCTCGATGCTCAAAGGGATATTCAATGTCTGCCAATAGGTGCCCTTCTTTGTAAGGCATTGGAAAACCTCCCAGGTCTTTGTTGTTGAATATGTGTTTTAAATTCACTGCTCAGCTGAGGGACTTTACAGATAATTGTATGTGTGGGGTACAGATATTAGGTAGTCATTCAAAAATCATGCTAAACACTATTATTGCACACAGTCCATGCAACTTATGTTACTTGTTAAGCACATTTTTACTTCTGGACTTATTTAGGCTTGCCAAAAAAAGGGAGTTGAAAATTGAAATGACTCAAGACATTTCAGCTTTTCATTTTTTAAATTAATTTCTTAAAAATGTCTACAAACATACAGTGGGGAAAAAAAGTATTTAGTCAGCCACCAATTGTGCAAGTTCTCCCACTTAAAAATATGAGAGAGGCCTGTAATTTTCATCATAGGTACACGTCAACTATGACAGACAAATTGAGGAAAAAAAATCCAGAAAACCACATTGTAGGATTTTTTATGAATTTATTTGCAAATGATGGTGGAAAATAAGTATTTGGTCACCTACAAACAAGCAAGATTTCTGGCTCTCACAGACCTGTAACTTCTTTTTTAAGAGGCTCCTCTGTCCTCCACTCGTTACCTGTATTAATGGCACCTGTTTGAACTTGTTATCAGTATAAAAGACACCTGTCCACAACCTCAAACAGTCACACTCCAAACTCCACTATGGCCAAGACCAAAGAGCTGTCAAAGGACACCAGAAACAAAATTGTAGACCTGCAGCAGGCTGGGAAGACTGAATCTGCAATAGGTAAGCAGCTTGGTTTGAAGAAATCAACTGTGGGAGCAATTATTAGGAAATGGAAGACATACAAGACCACTGATAATCTCCCTCGATCTGGGGCTCCACGCAAGATCTCACCCTGTGGGGTCAAAATGATCACATGAACGGTGAGCAAAAATCCCAGAACCACACGGGGGGACCTAGTGAATGACCTGCAGAGAGCTGGGACCAAAGTAACAAAGCCTACCATCAGTAACACACTACGCCGCCAGGGACTCAAATCCTGCAGTGCAAGACGTGTCCCCCTGCTTAAGCCAGTACATGTCCAGGCCCGTCTGATGTTTGCTAGAGTGCATTTGGATGATCCAGAAGAGGATTGGGAGAATGTCATATGGTCAGATGAAACCAAAATATAACTTTTTGGTAAAAACTCAACTCGTTGTGTTTGGAGGACAAAGAATGCTGAGTTGCATCCAAAGAACACCATACCTACTGTGAAGCATGGGGGTGGAAACATCATGCTTTGGGGCTGTTTTTCTGCAAAGGGACCAGGACGACTGATCCGTGTAAAGGAAAGAATGAATGGGGCCATGTATCGTGAGATTTTGAGTGAAAACCTCCTTCCATCAGCAAGGGCATTGAAGATGAAACGTGGCTGGGTCTTTCAGCATGACAATGATCCCAAACACACCGCCCGGGCAACGAAGGAGTGGCTTCGTAATAAGCATTTCAAGGTCCTGGAGTGGCCTAGCCAGTCTCCAGATCTCAACCCCATAGAAAATCTTTGGAGGGAGTTGAAAGTCTGTGTTGCCCAGCGACAGCCCCAAAACATCACTGCTCTAGAGGAGATCTGCATGGAGGAATGGGCCAAAATACCAGAAACAGTGTGCGAAAACCTTGTGAAGACTTACAGAAAACGTTTGACCTGTGTCATTGCCAACAAAGGGTATATTACAAAGTATTGAGAAACTTTTGTTATTGACCAAATACTTATTTTCCACCATAATTTGCAAATAAATTCATTAAAAATCCTACAATGTGATTTTCTGGATTTTTTTTCCTCATTTTGTCTGTCATAGTTGACGTGTACCTATGATGAAAATTACAGGCCTCTCTCATCTTTTTAAGTGGGAGAACTTGCACAATTGGTGGCTGACTAAATACTTTTTTTCCCCACTGTAATTCCACTTCAAATAGCTGTTTTCAAATGTTGAGCTTACATTGCAAGTTCACATGTGAAAAACAATCACATGTAAAAATCCACATGTGAAAATCAAATTAGCAGTTTCACATGTAAGAAAACTCCACATTTACTCCAATGTTTGTAAACAAAGTAATTGTAAACAGACACTGTATAGCCTAAAACCATGGTTAAAACTATATATTTTGATATCATAGATGGTCAGTCCTTGCATCCATAGTATTGTCTGTGGATTTGAGTGTGGTTACATTTCTCCAGCCCCATACCTCAGCTTTTTACCGAAACGGGGGCGGAGGACACTTAATGTTTCAATTAAAGGTTGCCACTTTAAACACCTTTAATAGTGTAATAGTGTTATTATATGGTGCAAACCTCTAGTGAGTGAGTTACTTTTATGCCATTAATATCAAGCAAAACTTTTGAAGTCAAGAAGAACATTCTTATTATTGCAAACAAAAATAATGATATTGAAAGCGAAACATAAACCCAAACGTATCGATAGCAAAACAAAATATTGCATGGAAATAATGTTTAAATGTGAGAGCAAATGAATTGTTTTCAGTGAATTTTTTTTAAATGATAATGCAATTAAATAAAACACCTCCCTCTTTCCCCTATCTTTTGTTATGTTACCCTGGCCTTTGCTTTCTCTGCCTTTATTCCAGAAACATAGCACCCTGCATCCCACAGCTGGTTTGTCTCTGAAGCTAAGCAGGGTTGGCCCTGGTTAGTCCCTGGATGGGAGACCAGATGTAGCTGCAAGTGGTGGAAAAACATGTGAAACTTCACACGTGTCTGATTTGTGAAAAATTGACATTTAAAGAAGTCACGTGATTTTTTTCCTGACTTTTTTTTCTAAGGGAGGTGTGTGTATAGACCTCTGATATCACTCCTTAGTGTTCTCTGTGGTAAAATGTCATGGACAGGTGGTGAGCAGTTACGAATAGCGACGCAGTCACAACACAACTGCCAATGGAAGAGAGTTGTAATTGATGTAAACAAGTTTTGAATACTGTAACAAACTGAACGGCACATACTGTTCTTGACTGTTAAATTCACAGTTAGGATAATGTACACACACACACACCAATCTTCTATTGTTTTACTGGACATCATCTCTGTGGTCACCAGGGCCAATATTCTAGTGTTCTGCAGGACGTAATCTCTGTGGTCACCAGGGCCAATCTTCTAATGTTCAATTGGACATCATTTGAAAAAGGGGACAGAGTGGTGTGGTGGTCTAAGGCACTGCATCGCAGTGCTAGAAGTCTCACTACAGACCCGGGTTCGCTCACGGGCTGTATCACAATCAGCCGTGAGCGGGAGTCCCATAGGGAAGGTGCGTCGTCTGGTTTAGGGGAGGGTTTGGCCGGGGTAGGCTGTCATTGTAAATAAGAAGTTGTTCTTAACTGACTTGCCTAGTTAAATAAAGGTAAACAAAAAGTACATAATCTCTGTGGTCACCAGGGTGACTCTCAGACCTTAATCTATTCATTAGAGGAATATTAGAGCTATCTTATTGACAGGGAGTTTATTTATAGTGGCTGTGAAGGTCAATGTCTTTCGATGCTGCAGTGTGTGTGTGCGTGCATGCCGTGCGTGTAGAACATAACAGTAGACCTGAGAGACTGCAGGAGCTTCACTGTCTGTCTGTCTATCACAATCACAACACACACACATAGGCTGCTAGAAGCACAGTGGTCACATTCAGTATAATGGTTTTGGGCCCCGCAGCAGTTATGCTCATGTCTCAGACCTCTCTAGGGAACATCTTCTAGATGTGACAGAATTTGCTAGGAAATGGCAATAATGTAACAGCTCCACCTTGACTGTCCCAAAGTGCTGATCTGTAACTGGGCCAAAGACACACAGACAGACAGATAGCAGCACAGTGACCACAGTAGATCAGTTCAGGTCAGTATAGGACAATACTGTAGAGACAGACTGCTGCTCTCTATCTGCTGTCTCATCAGTGTAGAGACAGACTGCTGCTCTCTATCTACAGCAGGAACATCCAGTCATAATCCTGTTTTGTTGTTTCTCTCCAGGAGATCAGAAACATGCAGAATGAAGAGCTGATGGGGATCAGACGAGAGGAGGAGATGGAGATGTCTGACGATGACATGGAGGATAAACACGATCCTGACGACTCAGGTACACACACACATAGCACACACACACACACACACGCACACACACACACGTGCACACACACACTGTTTGAATGGATCCGTAACATTAGGCAGGATGGAGCCGGCCCGCTCATTAGGCAGGATGGAGCCGGCCCGCTCATTAGGCAGGATGGAGCCTGCCCGCTCATTAGGCAGGATGGAGCCTGCCCGCTCATTAGGCAGGATGGAGCCGGACCGATCATTAGGCAGGATTAGGCAGCCGCCTATGGCAGCAGATTGACGAGGGAGGCATTTTCTGAGCTAAACTGACCAAAACACACCTCCAACAACAACACATAAAACCTCACATAATTCTGCCCAAAAACAATGACAATTCCTCTCAACCCGTGACATATGGGCTTTTTAGCTGAGCGCTGATATCGCCCTGTGATAAACAATACCCACTTTGTCAAAGGCAGGGGAGCAAAATATTTAGCTTGTCCATTCCCAGCACGCCTCTCCAGGGTGCTGTTGGAGAGACGCATCTCTGTAGCGCTCCACCAACATTCCGTCAAAAAATTAATCTTACATAAATCATGTAGCAGATATAGCATATGGTAGAAATAGTTTTTTCTGTAGCCTACAGGGTGGAGATAAAATGTATGACAATGTATTGAGATGGACAGTTTTTACATCATACAGGTTTCAAATAACCTAACCTAAATGGCACCCAATCAAATAAAACATTAGCTGTCATGTAAAAAAAAAATATGTATATATATATATCCTAAAAACAGTCAAAGTAAAATGGACAATATGAAATGGACAATCATGCTACGCACAACTGCTGTCCAGGAGATTCACCCTGTGGGGTAAATTGTACTTCTGCAAAAAATACTTCTGTGTAAACACATTGCAAATAGGCTCGCGATAACTCCTGATAAAGTTGGGTAGCTGATATTCAGAACTTAAATAGCCAAATTGATTAGTCACAGGAATTGGGACTAATAAAACCAATGCAATGGCCTGTTTTACAAACGGTGGTCGTACCACATGGATGGGAATTCATAAAATTCCATTGTGGCCGACATGGTAGTCTACACCCCAGTAAGCACAAACCCACGTCTTTTTGACATATTTTTTTTGTGGTCTTTTTTTGTGTTTTACAAGCGGTAGGCTTACCACATAGATGGGCATTCAAAAAATTCAATTTCAGGCCACACTGTACTGTCACGATCGAGGTAAGGAGTAGACCAAGGCGCAGCGTGATGAACAAACATGACTTTAATTAGTTAAAGCACGAAACAAAACAAGAAACGACTCGTGACGTCCACGGTATCAATGACCGAACACGGAACAAAAACCCACAACCACAAAGGGAAAACATACAGTTTAAATATGGCTCCCAATCAGAGACAACCAGCCAACAGCTGACACTCGTTGCCTCTGATTGGGAGTCACTCAGGCAAACATAGAATACAACAAACTAGAATGAACACCAACATAGAAATACACACATAGAAATGAACACACCCTGGCTCAACATAATGAGTCCCAGAGCCAGGGTGTGACAGTACTCCCCCCTAAAGGCGCGGACTGCGACCGCGCCTCAACTAAACAAACCAGGGGAGGGCTGGGCGGGCATACCTCCTCGGCGGCGGTTCTGGCTCCGGCCTTGACCACCACCCTCCAATACACCCCCCATAGTGCCCCTGGTCCAGTCTGGCCCCGCCGGCTGGAGCAGGACTGGACTTAACAGGAGCGATCCTTACCAGGCTGTCGACTCGCACCCCTGGCTTGGTGCGTGGAGGAGGAACGAGCCTTACCAGGCTGACGACTCGCACCCCTGGCTTGGTGCGTGGAGGAGGGACGGGCCTTACCAGGCTGACGACGCGCACCCCTGGCTTTGTGCGTGGAGGAGGAACGGGCCTTACCAGGCTGACGACTCGCACCCCTGGCTTGGTGCGTGGAAGAGGGACGGGCCTTACCAGGCTGACGACTCGCACCCCTGGCTTGGTGCGTGGAGGAGGAACGGGCCTTACCAGGCTGACTTCTCGCACCCCTGGCTTAGTGCGAGTGGCAGGAACAGGCCGGACCGGGCTGGCGACGCGCACCGTAGGTTTGGTGCGAGTGGCAGGAACAGGCCGGGTCGGGCTGGCGACGCGCACCGTAGACTTGGTGCGGGTGGCAGGAACAGGCCGGGTCGGGCTGGCGACGCGCACCGTAGACTTGGTGCGGGTGGCAGGTACAGGCCGGACCGGGCTGGCGACACGCACCGTAGGTTTGGTGCGAGTGGCAGGAACAGGCCGGGTCGGGCTGGCAACGCGCACCGTAGACTTGGTGCGGGTGGCAGGAACAGGCCGGACCGGGCTGGCGACGCGCACCGTAGGTTTAGTGCGTGGAGCAGGGACAGGCCGGGCTGGGCTGTCGACGCACACCGTAGGCTTGGTGCGTGGAGCAGGGACAGGCCGGGCTGGGCTGTCGACGCACACCGTAGGCTTGGTGCGTGGAGCAGGGACAGGCCGGGCTGGGCTGTCGACGCACACCGTAGGCTTGGTGCGTGGAGCAGGGACAGGCCGGGCTGGGCTGGCGACGCACACCGTAGGCTTGGTGCGTGGAGCAGGGACAGGCCGGACTGGGCTGGCGACGCACACCGTAGGCTTGGTGCGTGGAGCAGGGACAGGCCGAACCGGGCTGTGGAGACGGATAGGAGGCCTGGAGTGAAGAGCGGCCACCACCCGTCCTGGCTGAATGCCTACCCTCACACACTCTGTGTGAGGCATCCGCACAGGACGTACAGGGCGGTGAACCCCTGGCCTGGTGGCCTTCTGGATCCGCCCCCTTTTCTCCTCCGTCAGCCCCGTCGTCCATTCCGTGTGCCCCCCCCCTAAAAATGTTCTGGGGTTGCCTCACGACCGTCCGACGACGACCCTGATCACGCCGTTGCTCCTCTCTCCGTCGCCTCTCCACTGTCTCACTCCATGGCCGGCGATCCATCCCGGCCAGGATTTCCCCCCAAGTCCAGGACCCTTTACCGTCCAATATCTCCTCCCATGTCCAGGCTGCCTGCTCCTGGACACGCTGCTCCTCTTTCGCCAGGGCCTTTCCCGGCGCTTCCTCCCATGTCCACCCCAAGGGCTGCCCCTGGACACGCTGCTTGGTCGTTGCATGGTGGGTTTTTCTGTCACGATCGAGGTAAGGAGTAGACCAAGGCGCAGCGTGATGAACAAACATGACTTTAATTAGTTAAAGCACGAAACAAAACAAGAAACGACTCGTGACGTCCACGGTATCAATGACCGAACACGGAACAAAAACCCACAACCACAAAGGGAAAACATACAGTTTAAATATGGCTCCCAATCAGAGACAACCAGCCAACAGCTGACACTCGTTGCCTCTGATTGGGAGTCACTCAGGCAAACATAGAATACAACAAACTAGAATGAACACCAACATAGAAATACACACATAGAAATGAACACACCCTGGCTCAACATAATGAGTCCCAGAGCCAGGGTGTGACATGTACGCTACACCTCAGTAAGCACGGACCGACGTCAACGCCTTTTTGACGTCTTTTTTTGTTGCCTTGATTTCCACATCCACGGACATTGGTTTTTGGTCCTGACCAAATCTGAACCAATCATAGACGTCTATGTTTGGTTCAGATTCGGTCCGGTCTGGATCTGCCAAACATAGACATTTATAAACTATGTATTTTCAACTTTCTTTCAGTACCATAAATTAACCTTATTTCATTGTCCGGAAAATAAATATTTTCAACGTCTGGAAAATACGTATTTTCAATGTCCAGAAAATATGTATTTTCACCTTTCATTCAGAACCTAAATTGAACCTAACTTCAACGTCTTTTAAATGTCATTTTGCTTACTGGGACTATTCTAGTTTTGTGGGGGGCGCCATTTTTTTTGTCTCGCCTAGGGTGGCAGAAAGGCAAGGACCGGCCCTGATTAGAGAGGAGTCGTCAGCTCATTCACTCTCTAAATTACCAAATTAAGTATAGTTTTCTCCAGACTGTCTGAGTGTGTGTGTTTATGAGAAATAGATATTGCACACAATTGGTAGACACTCTAACACTGTAGTTGGTAGACACTTTAACACTGTAGTTGGTAGACACGCTAACACTGTAGTTGGTAGACACTTTAACACTGTAGTTGGTAGACACTTTAACACTGTAGTTGGTAGACACTTTAACACTGTAGTTGGTAGACATTCTAACTCTAGTTGGTGGACACGTTAACACTGTAGTCCCGTGTAGCTCAGTTGGTGGAGCATGGCGTTTGCAACGCCAGGGATGTGGATTCAATTCCCACGGGGGGCCAGTATGAAAATGTGTACACTCACTAACTGTAAGTCGCTCTGGATAAGAGTGTCTACTAAAATGTAAAACAAATGTACAATGTAGACACTTTAACACTGTAGTTGGTAGACATTTTAACTCTAGTTGGTAGACACTGCAGGCTATAGCTCTCCTGACTGGAGATGTCAATCAATAATGTACATGTACAGTGGGGAAAAAAGTATTTAGTCAGCCACCAATTGTGCAATTTCTCCCACTTAAAAAGATGAGAGAGGCCTGTAATTTTCATCATAGGTACACGTCAACTATGACAGACAAAATGAGAAAAAAAATCCAGAAAATCACATTGTAGGATTTTTTATGAATTTATTTGCAAATTATGGTGGAAAATAAGTATTTGGTCAATAACATAAGTTTCTCAATACTTTGTTATATACACTTTGTTGGCAATGACACAGGTCAAACGTTTTCTGTAAGTCTTCACAAGGTTTTCACACACTGTTGCTGGTATTTTGGCCCATTCCTCCATGCAGATCTCCTCTAGAGCAGTGATGTTTTGGGGCTGTCGCTGGGCAACACAGACTTTCAAATCCTTCCAAAGATTTTCTATGGGGTTGAGATCTGGAGACTGGCTAGGCCACTCCAGGACCTTGAAATGCTTCTTACGAAGCCACTCCTTCGTTGCCCGGGCGGTGTGTTTGGGATCATGTCATGCTGAAAGACCCAGCCACGTTTCATCTTCAATGCCCTTGCTGATGGAAGGAGGTTTTCACTCAAAATCTCACGATACATGGCCCCATTCATTCTTTCCTTTACACGGATCAGTCGTCCTGGTCCCTTTGCAGAAAAACAGCCCCAAAGCATGATGTTTCCACCCCCATGCTTCACAGTAGGTATGGTGTTCTTTGGATGCAACTCAGCATTCTTTGTCCTCCAAACATGACGAGTTGAGTTTTTACCAATAAATTCTATTTTGGTTTCATCTGACCATATGACATTCTCCCAATCCTCTTCTGGATCATCCAAATGCACTCTAGCAAACTTCAGACGGGCCTGGACATGTACTGGCTTAAGCAGGGGGACACGTCTGGCACTGCAGGATTTGAGTCCCTGGCGGCGTAGTGTGTTACTGATGGTAGGCTTTGTTACTTTGGTCCCAGCTCTCTGCAGGTCATTCACTAGGTCCCCCCGTGTGGTTCTGGGATTTTTGCTCACCGTTCTTGTGATCATTTTGACCCCACGGGGTGAGATCTTGCGTGGAGCCCCAGATCGAGGGAGATTATCAGTGGTCTTGTATGTCTTCCATTTCCTAATAATTGCTCCCACATTTGATTTCTTCAAACCAAGCTGCTTACCTATTGCAGATTCAGTCTTCCCAGCCTGGTGCAGGTCTACAATTTTGTTTCTGGTGTCCTTTGACAGCTCTTTGGTCTTGGCCATAGTGGAGTTTGGAGTGTGACTGTTTGAGGTTGTGGACAGGTGTCTTTTATACTGATAACAAGTTCAAACAGGTGCCATTAATACAGGTAACGAGTGGAGGACAGAGGAGCCTCTTAAAGAAGAAGTTACAGGTCTGTGAGAGCCAGAAATCTTGCTTGGTTGTAGGTGACCAAATACTTATTTTCCACCATAATTTGCAAATAAATACATTAAAAATCCTACAATGTGATTTTCTGGACACATTTTTCTCAATTTGTCTGTCATAGTTGACGTGTACCTATGATGAAAATTACAGGCCTCTCTCATCTTTTTAAGTGGGAGAACTTGCACAATTGGTGGCTGACTAAATACTTTTTTTCCCCACTGTATCTATGATGTCAATCAACCAGTAACCCCTCCTCTATAGCACCTGGCTATGATGGTTTACAGTGAGAGGATTGATTCTAATAAAGCTGTGAATTGGGAGCTTTAACAGTGTGCGGGTCTTCTTGTTCTATACTAGGATTTATACTAAACCTTAACGGTGAAATAACTCATTCCACAGAGGGCCGATTGTCTGTGGGTATTTGGTTTTTCCTTTCAATTAAGACCTAGACAACCAGGTGAGGGGAGTTCCTTACTAATTAGTGACTGTAATTCATCAATCAAGTACAAGGGAGGAGCAAAAACCAACAGACACTCAGCCCTCCGTGGAATGAGTTTGACATTACATTTACATTTTAGTCATTTAGCAGACGCTCTTATCCAGAGCGACTTACAGTTAGTTGACATCAGTGCTATAGAGGAATAGGAGTATCTGTGAAGTGACACCTGTCCTCTCTGAAATGATAATCATTCCACTCCAGCACCTCAGAATTACACATGAATGAGACTGACACTGCAGGCAGCTGACACTGTGAATGGACTGGTGTGGTGGAGATTATTCCCTGGCCTGCCTCTCTAAATGGGGATGCTCATAGTTACAGCTGGAACAAAGTGTGTGTGTGTGTGTGTGTGTGTGTGTGCTCATTTAGGGCTGTTCTGGGCACCACTGAAGTGCAATTAGGGTCGTCTTTACACAGAACATCCTGTTTATGTCTGCTGAGCCAACAGAGCTACTGATGTAAAACACATTGAAACAGACCATCATATTCACCTGGACATTCAGATGACCCTCTGCTTCTCTCTAAAGCAGTTAGAGAGAGAAGGGAATGGAAGCAACGAGAGCGGGGCTAACTGCTACAATCAAGTCTCCTCTTCAAGTGCTTTTGAATTGTTGTGATCTCTGCCGGTTATGACCGCCTCCCTAATTTCTATGCAGATATATTCAAATGTTTTCATCAGCCTACCATGTTTTTAGTTCCACCTCTTTTCCTGTGCGACCTTGCTTATTAGAAAACACTAACAATCATTGTCAGAGGCTGTCACAATGTTGGAAGGGAACGCTGTGGAGAAGGGCACAGGATGTGGTGGGGGGACAGGTGTTGATGTGACACCCCATCATATTTACAGTAACAGTCTCCGTTCACACCTGCTAGGGCTCCCTGTAACCCAGGAGCAATCCTGTATAAGAAGCCTTGTCTCTGTGCTGTCAATCATGCAGACAGGTTGTCTGTTTAATCTATCGGCAGGCTGGAAGAAGAACACCTGTATTCTATTTTGAAGCCTTCAGCCCACCCAGTTTGTGTCGTTAAAGCTAATCGATGCTAATGGGAAAGTATCCTAAGCCCATTGATACAGTGCAGAGTGGGAATGGGTTGGTGCTTCTCCATTGATACAGTGCAGAGTGGGAATGGGTTGGTACTTCTCCATTGATACAGTGCAGAGTGGGAATGGGTTGGTGCTTCTCCATTGATACAGTGCAGAGTGGGAATGGGTTGGTGCTTCTCCATTGATACAGTGCAGAGTGGGAATGGGTTGGTTCTTCTCCATTGATACAGTGCAGAGTGGGAATGGGTTGGTGCTTCTCTCCTGTCAGCAGCCCTGTGCTGAGGTGCTGGCTCACACACACACACACACACACACACACACACACACACAGCAGGTCGATGAATCAGAGGTCTCTCTCTCAGCTCAAACATACATATAATGCCAGATTCAAAGCAGGCAGCTGGAGTCCCTTTGTGAGTTACACACACACACACACACACACACACACACACACACACACACACACACACACACACACACACACACCCTATGCTGGGCCTCCGTCACACACTCACTCTCAGGTCTTATCTTCGCAGCTCAGCCACTCAAACACACCCTCTCATTACATCACACACATCCCCCTCCGACAGCTGTAGAGAACAGACTCTCCTATCAAAGGAACAGGGGATGAGTAGTTCTCATCACACTGTCTCTCCTGTCTGTTCAATAGGACAGGTTAGGATTTAATGAGTAGTTCTCATCACATTCTCTCCTGTCTGTTCAATAGGACAGGTTAGGATTGAATGAGTCATTCTCATTACATTCTCTCCTGTCTGTTCAATAGGACAGGTTAGGATTTAATGAGTAATTCTCATCACATTCTCTCCTGTCTGTTCAATAGGACAGGTTAGGATTTCATGAGTAATTCTCATCACATTCTCTCCTGTCTGTTCAATAGGGCAGGCTAGGATTTCATGAGTAATTCGCATCACATTCTCTCCTGTCTGTTCAATAGGACAGGTTAGGATTTCATGAGTAATTCTCATCACATTCTCTCCTGTCTGTTCAATAGGACAGGTTAGGATTTCATGAGTAATTCTCATCACATTCTCTCCTGTCTGTTCAATAGGACAGGTTAGGATTTCATGAGTAATTCTCATCACATTCTCTCCTGTCTGTTCAATAGGACAGGTTAGGATTTCATGAATAATTCTCATCACATTCTCTCCTGTCTGTTCAATAGGGCAGGTTAGGATTTCAAAGCCTCCAGTATAGTTGTAGTATGTCCTCAGATCATCAGTACAGACATTTGAAGGCTGTCTGTACAGGACAATGTTATGATAGTTGTGATGTTCTGTCTCTCCTGTGTGTGTGTCTGTGTGTGTGTGTGTGTGTGTGTGTGTGTGTGTGTGTGTGTGTGTGTGTGTGTGTGTGTGTGTGTGTGTGTGTGTGTGTGTGTGTGTGTGTGTGTGTGTGTGTGTGTGTGTGTAGGCCCTGTGGCCCAGGTGGAGGCCCTAAAGGAAGAGAATGACTCTCTGCGCTGTCAGCTGGATGCCTACAGGAACGAGGTGGAGCTGCTGAAGCAGGAGCAGGGGCAAGAACCAAGAACACACACCTCCACAACACAGTGAAGAGGACACCATCAGGCAGCAACAACTAACCTTTCTACAACAGGCACTACAGGGAATGCAGAAGGTACTACTTCTACCACACATACACAGTGGAGTTAACTTCTTGCAGCAGGTCCTACTTTGGATTTATTTTAAGCAATTTCACAGGAATCTTTAACTTCCTGGTTCCATACAGATATTAAACCCCTGCAGATTCTGGCTTGTGAGACTCATAATCCATTGGTTTGGCTTCTTGGGGTGACTAGTCGTTTTGTGGAAAAGTGACTTTTAATAGAGGTGGATAGAGAACTGCCCTCCCAATCACACACACACACATACGCACGCACGCACACACACACACACACACAACACTGAGAAAGAGGGAGAGCGAGGGACAGGGCGAGAGAGAGGGACAGGGAGATAGAGAGGGATAGGGAGAGAGAGATGCAAGGTGAAAACGAGAGCAGCAGAGGGGTGCACTCTGAGAGTACGATGGATAGAGAGATAGAAAGAACAATAGAAAGACTTGACAGGAAGAGAGTCATTCTAGAATCTGATCAGTCTGCTGACCTAGACACTGTACATAAACTAATACCAGCTGGAGGGTTTTTCTAATAAAATCCCCTCAGAGAAAACAAACCATCATACTGTTGGTAAGATAAACAACCCTCAGGCAGGAAATATGTTTCTTCCATCACCTGCTGGGTCGTCAAATATCCTCAAGTAGTCAACGGTCATGCTCATATGAATAGACAGATGGTAATTACTTTTCCAACACACAAGTTTGAACATTTCCATGAAAATATAAAATGAATGGATTAAAAGACACAAATCAGATGCTTTTTATTGCTCTGTGCTAAATTGCGTTATCATGCGGGCTCTGGCGTATTACCATGTTAAATGTTGTCAGCAGGTGACTTGAGTCTGCCCAGGTTCTGCGAATTTCTTCCACTTGTGAGTCATGTAATAATACGTGCGTATTTCAGCCTAAACCCAACTGAGACTGTGATGGTTTTTTTATAAGATGAAATGGATAAGGAGAAAGGACTTTTCAGCTTCTACATGGTTCTGACCTGGAGAAGCAGAGACACTACATAGAGAAGCTATGAGCTAAAAGTTCCTTACTCGATGGTAAATCCTGAAACATAAGGGTTAGCATCGCTGGCTAACTTGGTTTCCTCTATGGAGCTGATGGATAAAGGGTTAATAACTAGCATGCGTCATATGCCTGTAGTAAGCGAGCATCTGTGGCTAACTGTGCCTTCTCTGTCTTAAGGGTTAGGTAGCATTTGTGGCTATCTGTGTCTTCTCTCTAAATATTAGTTAGCATATATAGCTAACTGTATCTCCTCTGTTTCAGAAGCTTAAAGGTGAGTTAGAATATTTGTCTCACTGTATGTCCTCTGTGTTTGCAGCAACTGCTGAAGATGTGTGAAGAAATGAAACAGAGGGAGGCGGAGCTGGAGAAGAGTGTGGAGGACAAACAGCAGCTTGAGAGCCAAGTACAGAGTCTCAAGGAAGGACTGGAGAGTCTGAAGAAAACACGCACACCACAGGTCAGTAACACATACACGCTCGCACGCACACAAACACACACACACACACACACACACAAACACACTCACACATCCTACCATTGTGTTTTTATTTTACCTTGTTATTTTTGTATCACAATGTAATTGATTACTGTATTGTTGGGGTTAGAGCTTGCAAGAAAGGCATTTCACTGTACTTGTGCATCTGACACTTGAAACTTGTGTGAGACATTGCTAGATAATGTCAGTCATCTTGTAGTCATGTTCCCTGATACAATAGTAAACTGCCCCTCATTGTCTTATTGTAACCTCAGTTCTCTTTATCAACTAGTTTCTTTGTTTCCCTCTGAGAAAGAGGAGGGATGGGATGAAAGCTCTCAGTTAATAGAGAATAGTGTGTGTGGTTCATGAGTTTGGCTGGCTGTAAAGACTCCTGGGGTTTGAAATGCAATTACCATATCTGATTTGTGCTGCAATTAGAATGAAATTAGTTCAAAATGAGTTTCAATGTATGAGAAATGTTTCCGAAATAATTAATCAGCTACCAGAGCCCAGGATGTGGTAGACTTCAATGAGAGTTAATCAGTTTCAAAAGTTTTACATTTCTCCTTTATCCCCTCTTATGGACCTCAGGAGGGTACGCGATGTGCTAGCTGCCTATCAAGCATTGACTGAGACCAGTCATTTAAAATGCCATTGAGAGAGACCAGTCATTTAAAATGCCATTGAGAGAGACCAGTCATTTAAAATGCCATTGAGAGAGACCAGTCATTTAAAATGCCATTGAGAGAGACCAGTCATTTAAAATGCCATTGAGAGAGACCAGTCATTTAAAAAGCCAGAGAGTGACAGTCCAGTCATTTAAATCACCATCCATAGAGAGAAATAGACTGGTCATTTCAAAAGCAATAGAGAAATAGATCTGATCATTTCCAAAGCTATGGAGAAATAGACAGGTCATTTCCATCCAGGTCAGGCCACTGGTCCTCTCCTCTACCAGCTAGAACGTCTCCCTGTAGCTGCACTGTACAGTAATAAAAACTAATGCTGCTGCTGCAGCCCAGAGCCTAGCTATAGCAAAACACCACCAACTACAACCAACCCCTTTATATTAGGCATATATTACCACTGGATACAACCAGACTCTTTAGACAAATATTACCACTGGCTGCAACTAGCATCTTTACATTAGCCATATATCACTACTAGCTACAACTAGCATCTTTACATTAGCCAAATATCACCATTGGTTACATCTAGAATCTTTATAGTCGCCAAGAAATCACCACTGGCTACAACTATCATCTTTATATTAGTCATATACTGTATCACCCTGGCTACAACTTGCATCTTTGCATTAGCAATATATCACTACTGGCTACAACTAGCATATTTGCGTTAGCCATATATCACTACTGGCTACAACTAGCACCTTTTATTAGCCATATATCATTACTGGCTACAACTAGCATCTTTTCATTAGCTATATATCACCACTGGATATACGTATATGCATTAGTCATATATCACCACTGGGTACAACTAGCATCTTTGCATTAGCCATACCGGTATATCATCACTGGCTACAACTAGCATCTTTGCATTAGCCATACCAGTATATTACCACTGGCTACAACTAGCATCTTTGCATTAGCCATTCTGGTATATCACCACTGGCTACAACAAGTTCTATATTATCCTCCCTCCAAAACTGTCTTGTCTCACCATCCTAAATTAGTTGTATATCTTAAGCGGCTAAAATCTATCTTGTCCCCTGTAGAGCTGTAATATAGCCAGTGTTAATGGTTGTGTTGCTCATGGGATAACGTTGGCTGAGCAGGATTCCAGAGGGAGGGTTGACAAGAGAATGAGCTTCCTGTTCAATCAGCTATTTAATCAGATAAAGAGAATACTGATATGAGAGTCAAATGGTGCGTGCTCCATATTTGATTGCTTTTTTTCCCAATCTAGACACATTTTCTCTTCTCTGCCTCCTGTAGCCGCTTGGCTAGTTGTTTCATTGACTTCGGTGAATTAGTCATTCTAGACCTGCTGGCTGGGTAATATATATTAATTAAAATCAAAGAGAGTGACAGGGTTGTCAATATCTGGTTTAATAGTGATGCCGTACATTAGAATGAGTCTAGGCACTGAAATGTGTCCCCTTCCAGTGATCCATGGGTAATATGGTAATTAAAACATGTTTACACACAGAGATGAACCCCTTCCAGTGATCCATGGGTAATATGGTAATTAAAACATGTATACACACAGAGATGAACCCCTTCCAGTGATCCATGGGTAATATGGTAATTAAAACATGTTTACACACAGAGATGAACCCCTTCCAGTGATCCATGGGTAATATGGTAATTAAAACATGTTTACACGCAGAGATGAACCCCTTCCAGTGATCCATGGGTAATATGGTAATTAAAACATGTACAGTGAGGGAAAAAAGTATTTGATCCCCTGCTGATTTTGTACGTTTGCCCACTGACAAAGAAATGATCAGTCTATAATCTTAATGGTAGGTTTATTTGAACAGTGAGAGACAGAATAACAACAAAAAAATCCAGAAAAAAGCATGTAAAAAATTGTATAAATTGATTTGCATTTTAATGAGGGAAATACGTATTTGACCCCCTCTCAATCAGAAAGATTTCTGTCTCCCAGGTGTATTTTATACAGGTAACGAGCTGAGATTAGGAGCACACTCTTGTTACCTGTATAAAAGACACCTGTCCACAGAAGCAATCAATCAATCAGATTCCAAACTCTCCACAATGGCCAAGACCAAAGAGCTCTCCAAGGATGTCAGGAACAAGATTGCAGACCTACACAAGGCTGGAATGGGCTACAAGACCATCGCCAAGCAGCTTGGTGAGAAGGTGTCAACAGTTGGTGCGATTATTCGCAAATGGAAGAAACACAAAAGAACTGTCAATCTCCCTTGGCCTGGGGCTCCATGCAAGATCTCACCTCGTGGAGTTGCAATGATCATGAGAACGGTGAGGAATCAGCCCAGAACTACACAGGAGGATCTTTATTTTTTTATTTATTTTTTTCACCTTTATTTAACCAGGTAAGCCAGTTGAGAACAAGTTCTCATTTACAACTGCGACCTGGCCAAGATAAAGCAAAGCAGTGCGATAAAAACAACAACACAGAGTTACATATGGGGTAAAACAAAACAAAGTCAAAAATACAACAGAAAAAAAAAATATATATATATACAGTGTGTGCAAATGTAGCAAGTTATGGAGGTAAGGCAATAAATAGGCTATAGTGCAAAATAATTACAATTAGTATTAACACTGGAATGATAGATGTGCAAGAGATGATGTGCAAATAGAGATACTGGGGTACAAATGAGCAAAATAAATAACAATATAGGGATGAGGTAGTTGGGCGGGCTAATTTCAGATGGGCTGTGTACAGGTGCAGTGATCGGTAAGGTGCTCTGACAACTGATGCTTAAAGTTAGTGAGGGAGATAAGTGTCTCCAGCTTCAGAGATTTTTGCAATTTGTTCCAGTCATTGGCAGCAGAGAACTGGAAGGAATGGCGGCCAAAGGAGGTGTTGGCTTTGGGGATGACCAGTGAGATATACCTGCTGGAGCGCATACTACGGGTGGGTGTTGCTATGGTGACCAATGAGCTAAGATAAGGCGGGGATTTGCCTAGCAGTGATTTATAGATGGCCTGGAGCCAGTGGGTTTGGCGACGAATATGTAGTGAGGACCAGCCAACAAGAGTGTACAGGTCACAGTGGTGGGTAGTGTATGGGGCTTTGGAGACAAAACGGATGGCACTGTGATAGACTACATCCAATTTGCTGAGTAGAGTGTTGGAGGCTATTTTGTAAATGACATCGCCGAATTCAAGGATCGGTAGGATAGTCAGTTTTACGAGGGCATGTTTGGCAGCATGAGTGAAGGAGGCTTTGTTGCGAAATAGGAAACCGATTCTAGATTTAACTTTGGATTGGAGATTCTTAATGTGAGTCTGGAAGGAGAGTTTACAGTCTAACCAGACACCTAGGTATTTGTAGTTGTCTACATACTCTAGGTCAGACCCGTCGAGAGTAGTGATTCTAGTCGGGTGGGCGGGTGCAAGCAGCGTTCGGTTGAAGAGCATGCATTTAGTTTTACTAGTGTTTAAGAGCAGTTGGAGGCTACTGAAGGAGTGTTGTATGGCATTGAAGCTCGTTTGGAGGTTTGTTAACACAGTGTCCAATGAAGGGCCAGATGTATACAAAAGGGTGTCGTCTGCGTAGAGGTGGATCTGAGAGTCACCAGCAGCAAGAGCGACATCATTGATATACACAGAGAAAAGAATCGGCCCAAGAATTGAACCCTGTTGCACCCCCATAGAGACTGCCATAGGTCCAGACAACAGGCCCTCCGATTTGACACATTGAACTCTATATGAGAAGTAGTTGGTGAACCAGGTGAGGCAGTCATTTGAGAAACCAAGGCTATTTAGTCTGCCAAGAAGAATGCGGTGGTTGACAGAGTCGAAAGCCTTGGCCAGGTCAATGAAAACGGCTGCACAGTACTGTCTATTATCGATCGCGGTTATAATATCGTTTAGGACCTTGAGCTTGGCTGAAGTGCACCCATGACCAGCTCGGAAACCGGATTGCATAGCGGAGAAGGTACGGTGGGATTCGAAATGGTCGGTGATCTGTTTGTTAACTTGGCTTTCAAAAACTTTTGAAAGGCAGGGCAGGATGGATATGGGTCTGTAACAGTTTGGATCTAGAGTGTCACCCCCTTTGAAGAGGGGGATGACCGCGGCAGCTTTCCAATCTCTGGGGATCTCAGACGTTACGAAAGAGAGGTTGAACAGGCTAGTAATAGGGGTTGCGACAATTTCGGCGGCTAGTTTTAGAAAGAAAGGGTCCAGATTGTCTAGCCCAGATGATTTGTAGGGGTCCAGATTTTGCAGCTCTTTCAGAACATCAGCTGTCTGGATTTGTGTGAAGGAGAAGCGGGGGGGGGCATGGGCAAGTTGCAGCGGAGGGTGCAGAGCTGGTGGCCGGGGTAGTGGTAGCCAGGTGGAAAGCATGGCCAGCCGTAGCAAAATGCTTGTTGAAATTCTCGATTATTGTAGATTTATCGGTGGTGATAGTGTTTCCTAGCCTCAGTGCAGTGGGCAGCTGGGAGGAAGTGCTCTTATTCTCCATGGACTTTACAGTGTCCCAAAACTTTTTGGAGTTAGTGCTACAGGATGCAAATTTCTGTTTGAAAAAGTTAGCCTTTGCTTTCCTAACTGCTTGTGTATATTGGTTCCTAACTTCCCTGAAAAGTTGCATATCGCTGGGGCTATTTGATGCTAATGCAGTACGCCACAGGATGTTTTTGTGCTGGTCAAGGGCAGTCAAGTCTGAGGAGAACCAGGGGCTATATCTATTCTTAGTTCTGTATTTTTTGAATGGGGCATGTTTATTTAAGATTGAGAGGAAATTACTTTTAAAGAACAACCAGGCATCCTCTACTGACGGAATGAGATCTATATCCATCCAGGATACCTGGGCCAGGTCAATTAGGAAAGCCTGCTCGCTGAAGTGTTTTTGGGAGCGTTTGACAGTGATGAGGGGTGGTCGTTTGACCGCGGACCCGTTACGGACGCAGGCAATAAGGCAGTGATCGCTGAGATCCTGGTTGAAGACAGCGGAGGTGTATTTAGAGGGTAAGTTAGTCAGGATGATATCTATGAGGGTACCCATGTTTACGGATTTAGGGTTGTACCTGGTAGGTTCGTTGATAATTTGTGTGAGATTGAGGGCATCTAGTTTAGATTGTAGGATGGCCGGGGTGTTAAGCATATCCCAATTTAGGTCACCAAGCAGTACGGACTCTGAGGATAGATGGGGGGCAATCAATTCACATATGGTGTCCAGGGCACATCTGGGGGCTGAGGGGGGTCTGTAGCAAGCGGCAACAGTGAGAGATTTATTTCTGGAAAGGTGGATTTTTAGAAGTAGAAGCTCAAACTGTTTGGGCACAGACCTGGATAGTATGATAGAGCTCTGCAGGCTATCTCTACAGTAGATTGCAACTCCACCCCCTTTGGCAGTTCTATCTAGACGGAAAATGTTATAGTTGGGGATGGAAATTTCAGAATTTTTGGTGGCCTTCCTAAGCCAGGATTCAGACGCTGCTAGAACATCAGGGTTGGCGGAGTGTGCTGACGCAGTGAATAACTCAAACTTAGGAAGGAGGCTTCTGATATTTACGTGCAGAAAACCAAGGCTTTTATGGTTACAGAAGTCAACAAATGATAGCTCCTGGGGAGTAGGAGTGATACTGGGGGCTGCAGGGCCTGGGTTAGCCTCTACATCACCAGAGGAACAGAGGAGGACTAGAATAAGGATATGACTAAAGGCTTTAAGAACTGGTCTTCTAGTGCGTTGGGTACATAGAATAAAGGGGGCAGTTCTCCGGGCGTTGTAGAAAGATTCAGGGCATTATGTACAGAAAAGGATATGGAAGGATATGAGTACAGTTGAGGTAAACCTAAGCGTTGGGTAACAATGAAAGAGATAGCATCACTGGAGGCACCGATTGAGCCGGTCTCGGCGTGTATGGGGGGTGGAACAAAGGAACTATTTGAGGCAGTTTGAGAGGGACTTGGGGTTCTACAGTGAAATTGTATAATAAGAACTAACCCAAACAGCAATAGGCAAGGCATATTGACAAGGGAGAGAGGCATAAAGCAATCACAGGTGTTATTAGAGAGAGCTAAGACAACAACTGGTAATAGCGATAAAGTTTGGGCTGAGGCTAAACAGAATAAACAGGACAGGGTACCGTGTAAAGGAACAGTCCAGCAGGCATCAGCTGTGCAGCTGAGTGATCATAAGGTCCAGTGAACAGCAATATGTGAGTCCGAGAGCAGTTCAAATTGGTGCTTCAGCACAGCTAGCAGGGAGCACAGTTGTAGTTTGCGTGTGCTAGCGGGCCGGGGCTAGCAGATGGATCTTCGTGGTCGTCGCAACGGGAAGCCTGTTGAAACCACATCAGACGATTTCGTCGGCAAACCAGTCGTGTTGGATCGGCGGGGCTCAGTGTCAATACTAGGAGGTCCCGTCCGGTTGACAGAGAGGTAGATAGCCGGGAGATGGGCCTGAGGCTAGCTCAAGGCTAACTGGTGCTTGCTATGGGGCAATGGTAATTAGCCAACAACAGGTTGCAGCTAGCTAGCTGGTTGCGATGATCCGGCGCTAGGGTCCAGTGATTCCGGCAGAAAGTCCGATAAGCTCTGGGTCGATAGCACGCTGTGCAGACTGGCCGACTAATTGTCCAGGCTAGAGCTAGAGCTGGCTGGTGGATAGTGTAGGCAACGGACAATGGTGAAGACGCTAACGGTGACTAATAGCAAGTAGCCATTCAGTTGCAGCTACACTAGTTTCAGCTTAAGGTTCTTGATGAAAGTTATAAAGAAATAATAGAATCCTTTCCACGTTGGGTGAGGCGGGTTGCAGGAAAGTATATTTAGTTAAAGAATGAAAAGTAAAATTGAGAAATATATACAAAATAGACAAAAAAAACAAGAAACGGGATATTTACACTAGGACAATGAATAAAACCACGACCGCACTGCTACGCCATCTTGTCAATGATCTCAAGGCAGCTGGGACCATAGTCACCAAGAAAAAAATTGGTAACACACTACGCCGTGAAGGACTGAAATCCTGCAGTGCCCGCAAGGTCCCCCTGCTCAAGAAAGCACATATACATGCCCGTCTGAAGTTTGCCAATGAACATCTGAATGATTCAGAGGAGAACTGGGTGAAAGTGTTGTGGTCAGATGAGACCAAAATCGAGCTCTTTGGCATCAACTCAACTCGCCGTGTTTGGAGGAGGAGGAATGCTGCCTATGACCCCAAGAACACCATCCCCACGTCAAACATGGAGGTGGAAACATTATGCTTTGGGGGTGTTTTTCTTCTAAGGGGACAGGACAACTTCATCGCATCAAAGGGACGATGGACGGGGCCATGTACCGTCAAATCTTGGGTGAGAACATCCTTCCCTCAGCCAGGGCATTGAAAATGGGTCGTGGATGGGTATTCCAGCATGACAATGACCCAAAACACATGGCCAAGGCAACAAAGGAGTGGCTCAAGAAGAAGCACATTAAGGTCCTGGAGTGGCCTAGCCAGTCTCCAGACCTTAATCCCATAGCAAATCTGTGGAGGGAGCTGAAGGTTCGAGTTGCCAAACGTCAGCCTCGAAACCTTAATGACTTGGAGAAGATCTGCAAAGAGGAGTGGAACAAAATCACTCCTGAGATGTGTGCAAACCTGGTGGCCAACTACAAAAAACGTCTGACCTCTGTGATTGCCAACAAGGGTTTTGCCACCAAGTACTAAGTCATGTTTTGCAGAGGGGTCAAATAGTTATTTCCCTCATTAAAATGCAAATCAATTTATAACATTTTTGACATGCGTTTTTCTGGATTTCTTTGTTGTTATTCTGTCTCTCACTGTTCAAATAAACCTACCATTAAAATTATAGACCGATCATGTCTTTGTCAGTGGGCAAACGTACAAAATCAGCAGGGGATCAAGTACTTTTTTCCCTCACTGTATACATGCAGAGATGAACCCCTTCCAGTGATCCATGGGTAATATGGTAATTAAAGCATGTTTACACACAGAGATGAACCCCTTCCAGTGATCCATGGGAAATATGGTAATAAAGCATGTATACACGCAGAGATGAACCCCTTCCAGTGATCCATGGGTAATATGGTAATTAAAGCATGTTTACACGCAGAGATGAACCCCTTCCAGTGATCCATGGGAAATATGGTAATAAAGCATATATACACGCAGAGATGAACCCCATCCAGCAATTCGGGGCTAATATGGTAGTTAAAGCATGCATACATGCAGAGATGAACCCCTTCCAGTGATCCATGGGTAATATGGTAATTAAAACATGCATACACACAGAAATAAACCCTTTCCAGTGATCCATGGGTAATATGGTATTAAAAGCATGTATACACGCAGAGATGAATGAAACCCTTCCAGTGATCCATTGGTAATTAAAGCATGTATACACAGAGAGATAGATCACTGGAGACTCATCAACAGAAGATAGAGAAATACATTTGAGGAAGGTGTTGCTCAGTAGATTTGTGGCCATTGTGGAATTATAGTGTGTGTTGCCAACTTGCCATGTTCGGCAGATTTCTGCATGCCATCATCAGTTAACCCCAGAGCCCCATTCACTGTCCAAGCTGTCATCAAGCATTATGTATTCTAGCTTTTTCGGTTACTGTACCACCAACTGAATTTTGCTCTGCCCAGAGTACCCCTGGAGGACCCCCTCATGTGCATTTTACCAGTAAGCCTATGGTCTCATGAGTCTTCTCAAGTACCCCCTGTGGATAGGCCAAGTACCCCTAGGACCCCTGGTTGGGAACCACTGTTCTAGAGCAGGTCGTTCTATTAACAGACAATCTCATCACCAGAAGAATACACTCTATTCTCTCAGTGTCCTTTCATCTAGGACCACTGAATCAGTCTTAATCTAGGACCACTGAATCAGGCTTCATATAGGACCACTGAATCATAACCCATTGTTATTATAATTTTTTGTTGTTGTATTTTTTTCCCCTTTTTCTCCCCAATTTTTGTAATATCCAACTGGTAGTTACAGTCTTGTTCCATCGCTGCAACTCCCGTACGGACTCGGGAGAGGCGAAGGTCGAGAGCCATGCGTCCTCCGAAACACGACCCCGCCAAGCCTCACTGCTTCTTGACACACTGCTCGCTTAACCCGGAAGCCAGCCGCACCAATGTGTCAGAGGAAACACCGTACAGCTGTCGACCGAAGCCAGCATAAATGCGCCCGGCCGCCACAAGGAGTTGCTAGATCGCGATGGGACAAGGACATCCCAGCCGGCCAAACCCTCCCCTAAACCGGACGTTGCTGGGCCAATTGTGTGCCGCCTCATGGGTCTGCCGGTCGCGGCCGGCTGCGACACAGCCTGGGATCGAACCCGGATCTGTAGTGACGCCTCTAGCACTGCGATGCAGTGCCTTAGACCGCTGCGCCACTCGGGATGCCCAATCTTAACCATTTTAATAGAAAACGGAGATACACACCACTCAGTGTGAATACCATTTGTGAACAGAGGACATTTTGACATCCAATTATGTTTGGTTCTTACTCATGGAAAGAACACAGATTAATATGTACTGTATGTCTCTGCTCTATCTAATCTGATCTGATTCTATATCTTTTTGCACAATACAACATACCCCATCAGACTATTCAGGGATTGTATATGTGATGTTGACCTCTCCCTTACAGTTTTTATAGTGGTCTTACCTGAGGAGAAAGTGTGTCTGTATGTTTGCATGAGTGTGACATGTTTGTCAGTGACGGCTTTTCTCATTTTTATAATTGACTCTAGCTGGAGACATCACCGCGAGATGACAGAGGGAGCGAGGAGAGTGCTGATCAAGTCAATGTAAGTGGAAAAGAGATGTGACCCTCTCTCCCTCTCTCCCCCTCTCTCTGTTTCCCTTCTCTCTCCTTTTCTCTATTTTTTTCTCCCTGTCTCTCTATTTTTCTATTTTCTCTCTGCATCTCTTTCTCTTCCTCTCACTCTCTCTGTTTCTCTGTTCCTCAATCTCTCTCTTCTTCCAGTGACATGACAGATCATTACAGACCAATCCAGTGCAGGAGGACTTTATTTGTTGCAGGATAAATCAACCCGACACAACTGGGTTAAGAAATCAAGGGCTTGTCCCATATCACACACACACACACACACACACACACACACACACACACACATATTAATGAAGAACATTGCCTCTGGGGAACCCCTGTAAGAGATGCCACCGTGCCTGGGTCAACGCCCACACAAACGCACATCAGTCACACACACACACTCACGCACACACCACACACATCAGTCACACACACACACTCACGCACACACCACACACACAGTCACACACACACACTCACGCACACACCACACACATCAGTCACACACACACACGCACACACCACACACATCAGTCACACACACACACACTCACGCACACACCACACACATCAGTCACACACACACACTCACGCACACACCACACACATCAGTCACACACACACACTCAACACACACACCACACACATCAGTCACACACACACACTCACGCACACACCACACACATCAGTCACACAGACACAAACACACACCACACACATCAGTCACACACAACAGTGACACGGCACAAAAACCCACACACCAGTCACACAGACACAAACACACACACACCACACACATCAGTCACACAGACACAAACACACACACACCACACACATCAGTCACACACCCACACACATCAGTCACACAGACACAAACTCACACACACACCACACACATCAGTCACACAGACACAAACACACACATCAGTCACACACACACACTCACACACATCAGTCACACAGACACAAACACACATCAGTCACACAGACACAAACACACATACCTGGTATTGCTGTCCATTAGTTTAGGTGGTAGGGGGAAAATATAAAAACATATTTAAAATAATATATATACAGTGCCTTCGGAAGGTATTCAGACCCCTTGACTTTTTTCACATTTTGTTACATTACAGCCTTATTCTGAAATGGATTAAATAAAACAATTCCTCAGCAATCTACACACAATACCCCATAATGACAAAGCGAAAACTGTTTTTTTGACATTTTTGCAAATGTATAAAAAATTATAAACAGAAGTACCTTATTTACATAAGTATTCAGACCCTTTGCTATGAGACTCCAAATTGAGCTCGGGTGCATACTGTTTCCATTGATCATCCTTAAGATGTTTCTACAACTTGATTGGAGTCCACCTGTGGTAAATTCAATTGATTGGACATGATTTGGAAAGGCACACACCTGTCTATATAGGGTCCCACAGTTGACAGTTCATATCAGAGCAAAAACCAAGCCATGAGGTCGAAGGAGTTGTCCATAGAGCTCCGAGACAGGATTGTGTTGAGGCACAGATCTGGGGAAGAGTACCCAAAAAAATTATGCAGCATTGAAGGTCCCCAAGAGCACAGTGGCCTCCATCATTCTTAAATGGAAGAAGTTTGGAACCACCAAGGCTCTTCCTAGAGCTGGGCGCTGGCCAAACTGAGCAATCAGTGGAGAAGGGCCTTTGTCAGGGAGGTGACCAAGAACCCGATGGTCACTCTGACAGAGCTCTAGAGTTCCTCTGTGGAGATGGGAGAAACTTCCAGAAGGACAAACATCTCTGCAGCACTCCACCAATCAGGCCTTTATGGTAGAGTGGCCAGACAGAAGCCATTCCTCAGTAAAAGACACATGACAGCCCGCTTGGAGTTTGCCGAAAGGGACCTAAAGACTGCCAGACCATGAGAAACAAGATTCTCTGGTCTGATGAAACCAAGATTGAACTCTTTGGCCTGAATGCCAAGTGTCACTTCTGGAGGAAACCTGGCACCATCCCTACGGTGAAGCATGGTGGTGGCAGCATCATGCTGTGGGGATGTTTTTCATCAGCAGGGACTGGGAGACTAGTCAGGATCGAGGCAAAGATGAACGGAGCAAAGTACAGAGAGATACTTGATGAAAACCTGCTCCAGAGCGCTCAGGACCTCAGACTGGTGGTGAATGTTCCCCTTCCAACAGGACAATGACTCTAAGCACACAGCCAATACAACGCAGGATTGGCTTCGGGACAAGTCTCTGAATATCCTTGAGTGGCCCAGCCAGAGCCCGGACTTGAACCCGATCGAACATCTCTGCAGAGACCTGAAAATAGCTATGCAGCAATGCTCCCCATTCAACCTGACAGAGCTTGACAGGATCTGCAGAGAAGAATGGGAGAAACTCCCCAAATACAGGTGTGCCAAGCTTACCCAAGAATACTCGATGCTGTAATCGCTGCCAAAGGTGCTTCAACAAAGTACTAAGTAAAGGGTCTGAATACTTATGTAAATGTGATATTTCCATTTTTTATTTGTAATACATTTGCAAAAATTTATAAAACCTATTTTTGCTTTGTCATTATGGGATATTGTGTGTAGATTGATGAGGGGAAAAAACGATTTAATCAATTTTAGAATAAGGCTGTAACGTAACAAAATGTGGAAAAAGTCAAGGGGTCTGAATACTTTCCGAAGGCACTGTATTTACAACAACAACAAAGAATTTGGGATTGGATATGATGCAGACAATTACATTGATGGAAGCCACAATCTATCTGCAATATTTAAGCTGATCTACCTCCTAAATTGTTTTTATTATTATTTTTAAACACATACCTGACCCACCCTCCTCCAGCCTGTCAGAAGCCCACAGTAAACAACAACTTCATCATTAACATCGCTAACACTCCCAGCTTTCTCTCTCTCTCTCTCTCTCTCTCTCTCTCTCTCTCTCTCTCTCTCTCTCTCTCTCTCTCTCTCTCTCTCTCTCTCTCTCTTTCCTCCCTCCTGTTAGCTCCCTCTGTATTTTCTCTCTCTGTCTCTCCTCCTCTCTTCTCCCATTGCCTGTATGATGTTTCTAGGACTGTGTGTGTGTGTGTGTGTGTGTCATCTAACAGTGTTTTCTCCTCTTGTCCTGTAGGAGGCGACAGCGTTAGAAGTGGTTTCCTGCAGTCAGGAGAAGGAGAGTCTGCCCCCAGAGAAGATTCCCTCCAGTCCTGTTCACTCCGAGAGAGAGGCCTTGCTAGTTGGTAAGTTCACCTAAAATTACTATAACCTTTCTTCAACATTATTATAATGTTATATTAACCTAACTACAGAGGAGAAGATCCCCCCAAGTCCAGTCCACTCTGACAGAGAGGCCCAGCTAGTTGGTACGTTCACCTAATATAACTATAACGTCACTAGGCCTATAACATTAGTATAACATTACTATAACATCTCTATACCATTACTACAACATCACTATAACATTACTATAAAATCACAATAACATTGCTATAACATCACTGTAATGTTATATAAACCTAACATTAGTATAGAAGAGAAGAGTCCCCCAGCCCTGTCCACTCTGAGAGAGAGGCATTGCTAGTTAGTATCTGGGTCTATACTCTATAGAACATTACTAGAGAAAGTACCTACAAAGGAGATCCCTGCTTGGTACCCATGTTTTCCTCCTCCAATCTAATCAAGCAGGTTATTTGTGGAAAGCCTGGTTTTCCTCCCCAGTTCATTCCCAGTTCTTTGGGCGGGTTCACACGTTTTAATTTGCTGGTTGACTGAGGCCTTCAGCACCTGTAATGTTTCTAATCACCACAGCCTTCTGGCTGCCTAGTGCCTACCAACGAGGAGCTAGAAAGGCTGTGCTCACTCCTTCTCAATTTCAATTCAATTTCAATTTAAGGGCTTTATTGGCATTGGAAACGTATGTTAACATTGCCAAAGCAAGTGAAGTAGATAGTAAACAAAAGTGAAATAAACAATAAATATTAACAGTAAACATTACACTCAGAAGTTCCAAAATAATAAAGACATTTCAAATGTCATATTATGTATGTATACAGTGTTGTAACAATGTGCAAATAGTTAAAGTACAAATGGGAAAATAAATCAACATAAATATGGGTTGTATTTACAATGGTGTTTGTTCTTCACTGGTTGCCTTTTTCTTGTGGCAACAGTTCACAAATCTTGCTGCTGTGGTGGCACACTGTGGTTTTTCACCCATTAGAAAAGGGAGTTTATCAAAATTGGGTTTGTTTTCTAATTCTTTGTGGATCTCTGTAATCTGAGGGAAATATGTGTCTCTAATGTGGTCATACATTTGGCAGGAGGTTAGGAAGTGCAGCTCAGTTTCCACATCATTTTGTGGGCAGTGTGCGCATAGCCTGTCTTCTCTTGAGAGCCAGGTCTGCCTATGGCGGACTTTCTCAATAGCAAGGCTATGCTCACTGAGTCTGTACATAATCAAAGCTTTCCTTAAGTTTGGGTCAGGCACAGTGGTCAAGTATTCTGCCACTGTGTACTCTCTGTTTAGAGCCAAATAGCATTCTAGTTTGCTATGTTTTTTTGTTAATTCCTTCCAATGTGTCAAGTAATTCTCTTTTTGTTTTCTCATGATTTGGTTGGGTCTAATTGTGTTGTTGTTGTTGTCCTGGGCCCTGTGGGGTCTGTTTGTGTTTGTGAACAGAGCCCCAGGATCAGCTTACGTAGGGGACTCTTCTCCAGGTTCATCTCTCTGTAGGTGATGGCTTTGTTATGGAAGGTTTGGGAATCGCTTCCTTTTAAGTGGTTATAGAATTTAACAGCTCTTTTCTGGATTTTGATAATTAGCGGGTATCAGCCTAATTCTGCTCTGCAAGCATTATTTTGTGTTTTTCATTGTACACAGAGGATATTTTTGCAGAATTCTGCATGCAGAGTCTCAATTTGGTGTTTGTCCCATTTTGTGAATTCTTGGTTGGTGAGTGGACCCCAGACCTCACAACCATAAAGGGCAATGGGTTCTACAACTGATTCAAGTATTTTTAGCCAGATCCTAATTAGTATGTCAAATTTTATTTCCTTTTGATGGCATAGAAGGCCCTTCTTGCCTTGTCTCTCAGATCGTTCACAGCTTTGTGGAAGATATCTGTGGCGCTGATGTTTAGGCAGAGGTATGTATAGTTTTTTGTGTGCTCTAGGGCAACGGTGTCTAGATGGAATTTGTATTTGTGGTCCTGGCAACTGGACCTTTTTTGGAACACCATTATTTTTGCCTTACTGAGATTTACTGTCAGCACCCAGGTCTGACAGAATCTGTGCAGAAGATCTAGGTGCTGCTGTAGGCCCTCCTTGGTTGGTGACAGAAGCTGTCGTAGCCGGCCGCGACCGGGAGACCCATGGGGCGGCGCACAATTGGCCCAGCGTCGTCCAGGGGAGGGAATGGCCGGCAGGGATGTAGAGCATGGTGTTTGCAAAGCCAGGGTTGTGGGTTCGATTCCCATGGGGGGCCAGTATTTAAAAAAAAAGAATAATAATAATGTATGCACTAACTGTAAGTCGCTCTGGATAAGAGCGTCTGCTAAATGACTAAAATGTTAAAATGTTAAATCATCAGCAAACAGTAGACATTTGACTTCAGATTCTAGTAGGGTGCTGCAGACTGTTCTAGTGCCCTTGCCAATTCGTTGATATATATGTTGAAGAGGGTGGGGCTTAAACTGCATCCCTGTCCCACCCCACGGCCCTGTGGAAAGAAATGTGTGTGTTCTTTGCCAATTTTAACCGCACACTTGTTGTTTGTGTACAACAACCTCTCCCTCAACGTGACCAAGACAAAGGAGATGATTGTGGACTACAGGAAAAAAAAGAGGACTGAGCACGCCCCCATTCTCATCGACGGGGCTGTAGTGGAACAGGTTGAGAGCTTCAAGTTCCTTGGTGTCCACATCACCAACGAACTATCATGGTCCAAACACACCAAGACAGTCGTGAAGAGGGCACGACAAAGCCTATTCCCCCTCAGGAGACTGAAAAGATTTGGCATGGGTCCTCAGATCCTCAACAAATTCTACAGCTGCACCATCGAGAGCATCCTGACTGGTTGCATCACCGCCTGGTATGGCAACTGCTTGGCCTCCGACCGCAAGGCACTACAGAGGGTAGTGCGTACGGCCCAGTACATCACTGGGGCCAAGCTTCCTGCCATCCATGACCTCTATACCAGGCGGTGTCAGAGGAAGGCCCTCAAAATTGTCAAAGACTCCAGCCACCCTAGTCATAGACTGTTCTCTCTGCTACTGCACGGCAAGCGGTACCGGAGTGCCAAGTCTAAATCCAAAAGACTTCTCAACAGCTTCTACCCCCAAGCCATAAGACTCCTGAACAGCTAATCATGGCTACCCGGACTATTTGCACTGCCCCCCCCACCCCATCCTTTTTACGCTGCTGCTACTCTGTTAATTATTTATGCATAGTCACTTTAACTCTACCCACATGTACATATTACTTCAACTACCTCAACTAGCCGGTGCCCCCGCACATTGACTCTGCACCGGTACCCCCCTGTATATATAGCCTCCCTACTGTTATTTTATTTTACTTCTGCTCTTTTTTTCTCAACACTTTTTTTGTTGTTGTTTTATTTTTACTTTCTTTGTTAAAAATAAATGCACTGTTGGTTAAGGGCTGTAAGTAAGCATTTCACTGTACTGTCTGCACCTGTTGTATTCGGCGCATGTGACCAATAAAATTTGATTTGATTTGATTTGATACATGGATTTTATAATGTCGTATGTTTTTCCCCCAACCCCACTTTCCATCAATTGGTATAGCAGACCCTCACGCCCAATTGAGTCAAAAGCTTTTTTGAAATCAACAAAGCATGAGAAGAGTTTGCCTTTGTTTCGGTTTGTTTGTTTGTCAATTAGGGTGTGCAGGGTGATTACGTGGTCTGTCGTACGGTAATTTGTTAAAAAGCCAATTTGACATTTGCTCAGTACATTGTTTTCACTGAGGAAGTGAACTAGTCTGCTGTTAATGATAATGCAGAGGATTTTCCCAAGGTTGCTGTTGACGCATATCCCACGGTAGTTATTGGGGTCAAATTTGTCTCCACTTTTGTGGATTGGGGTGATCAGTCCTTGGTTCCAAATATTGGGGAAGTTGCCAGAGCTATAGGTTAGCTGTAGGTTAGCTATAGGTTAGATATAGGTTAGCTATAGGTTATCTGTAGGTTAGCTATAGGTTAGATGTAGGTTATCTGTAGGTTAGTTGTAGGTTAGTTGTAGGTTAGCTATAGGTTAGCTATAGGTTAGCTGTAGGTTAGCTATAGGTTAGCTGTGGGTTAGCTGCGGGTTAGCTGCGGGTTAGCTATAGGTTAGCTGTAGGTTAGCTGTAGCGCAATGTTGGCTATTTTCGGACGCTATTTACATTAAATCAAAGTAAATGAATTTGCCAAAAAAAAATAGATGCTCTTTACTGCATAGCTGATTGTTTAGCTGAAGGTGTCCTGTAACACTGTGCCAAGTGACAATTTTCTCTGTTGTGGTATTTTACATTTGACATTTTAGTCATTTAGCAGACGCTCTTATCCTGAGCGACTTACAGTTTGTGATTGCACACATTTTCATACTGGCCCCCCGTGGGAAACATACCCACAACCCTGGCGTTGCAAGCGCCATGCTCTACCAACTGAGCTACAGGGGACTGTATTAACATATTTGGTGCGTGGTCGGCAGCTGGACACAAACGCGAATGGTTATCTAACTTCGGACGGTTGCAGCTGTCTCTAGCTTTCTTTCTGTTTTATTAACATGTTTCATTAAGCACATTGTTTATATTTACAACAGGAGTATAGCCTACCTGGCTTGCATGAAAATGAACCACGGGAAAAGCATCCTCTGTTCGCTACTTAAGTGCATAGATTACATGTATTATTTTTTTCATGCCCCTGTCTCGGAACCAATAATGGTCCATTCTAAATCAAAACCAATTGCTCGCATATATTATTTAGTAGATGTAAAGACAACATTAAACTAAGAATAGTCTGATGGGTGACAATATTAGCCCATCGCTTGTGAATGATGTATTATCACTTGTGAATGATGCCCAGCATAAGGCAAGAAACAGCGCATGCCTTTTTTTTTGCAACTTTTTCTAATCATAGTCACACACCTCATGTAGCCTAGCCCATAGGCCTATATGTTTTGATAAGGTTTGTATCACAACTAAAGTGGCCAAATAACTTCTTAAAATTAAGCACATTAATCCGCTTTACAACCAGTCTAGAGCCTAACTGGCATACGTAGGCGGCACGTGAGTTTCAAGTTTGGGGAAGATAATTTTCACCATAAAAATGCATCTTTAAAATAAAGCATTACATGCAGAATCGCATTTGCGGTCACTTTTGAGAATTGCATTTTGGAACATTCGCGCTTACAGCCTACTGCCGTGTGCGCATTGCTGCGCTTATAATGTGAAGAAATAGCCTAATAGTTTATCAACATTTGAAGCTAAACGATCTGTTGCAACAGTCTCATTGCTTTTAAAATGTTTTTGGACGCGAGTGGTTGTATTAATTTGGGATCTATCGCATCACACAACTGTCCCAGATTATGTTTTGGAATATTTCTTTCTTACGCAGAAGATAGAATAGGTCAACTTTTGTACTATGGGGGATAGTAGATTGACATAGGCTAGTGCTTTTGCTGTTTGTTAGGCTACTCATCTTGTTGGCTGATGAAAAGTTGGCTTAATGTGGACAGTTCTTCTACACTATATATGCAAAAGTATGTGGACACCTCTTCACATTAGTGGAATCGGCTATTTCAGCCACACCCATTACTGAAAGGTGTATTAAATCAAGCACACAACCATGCAATCTCCATAGACAAACATTGGCAGTAGAATGGCCTTACTGAAGAGCTCAGTGACTTTCAATGTGGCACCATCATAGGATGCCACCTTTCCAACAAGTCAGTTCGTCAAATTTCTGCCCTGCTAGAGCTGCCCTCGGTCAACTGTAAGTGCTGTTATTGTGAAGTGGAAATGTCTAAGAGCAACAACAACCCAGCCGCGAAGTGGTAGGCCACACAAGCTCACAGAACGGAACCACTGAGTGCTGAAGCGCGTAAAAATTGCCTGTCCTCGGTTGCAACACTCACTACCGAGTTCCAAACTGCCTATGGAAGCAACATCAGCACAAGAACTGGTCGTCGGGAGCTTCATGAAATGGGTTTCCATGGCTGAGCAGCTGCAAACGAGCCTAAGATCACCATGCGCAATGCCAAGCGTTGGCTGGAGTGATGTAAAGCTCGCCGCCATTGGACTCTGGAGCAGAGAAAACGTGTTCTCTGGAGTGATGAATCACGCTTCACCATCTGGCAGTCCGACGTACGAATCTGGGTTTGGTGGATGCCAGGAGAACGCTACCTATCCCAATGCATAGTGCCAACTGTAAAGTTTGGTGGAGGAGGAATAATGGTCTGGGGCTGTTTTTCATGGTTCGGGCTAGGCCCCTTAATTCCAGTGAAGGGAAATCTTAATGCTACAGCATACAATGACATTCTAGACGATTCTGTGCTTCCAACTTTGTGGCAACAGTTTGGGGAAGGCCCTTTCCTATTTCAGCATGACAATGCCTATGTGCACAAAGCTAGGTCCATACATAAATGGTTTGTTGAGATAGGTGTGGAAGAACTTGACTGGCCTGCAAAGAGCCCTGACCTCAACCCCATCAAACACCTTTGGCATGAATTGGAAAGCCGACTGCGAGCCAGGCCTAATCGCCCAACATCAGTGCCTGACCTCACTCAATCAATCAATCAATTTTATTTTATATAGCCCTTCTTACATCAGCTAATATCTCGAAGTGCTGTACAGAAACCCAGCCTAAAACCCCAAACAGCTAGTAATGCAGGTGTAGAAGCACGGTGGCTAGGAAAAACTCCCTAGAAAGGCGAAAACCTAGGAAGAAACCTAGAGAGGAACCAGGCTATGAGGGGTGGCCAGTCCTCTTCTGGCTGTGCCGGGTGAAGATTATAACAGAACCATGCCAAGATGTTCAAAAATGTTCATAAGTGACAAGCATGGTCAAATAATAATCAGGAATAAATCTCAGTTGGCTTTTCATAGCCGATCATTAAGAGTTGAAAACAGCAGGTCTGGGACAGGTAGGGGTTCCATAACCGCAGGCAGAACAGTTGAAACTGGAATAGCAGCAAGGCCAGGCGGACTGGGGACAGCAAGGAGTCACCACGGCCGGTAGTCCCGACGTATGGTCCTAGGGCTCAGGTCTCTCAGTTGGCTTTTCATAGCCGATCATTAAGAGTTGAAAACAGCAGGTCTGGGACAGGTAGGGGTTTCGTAACCGCAGGCAGAACAGTTGAAACTGGAATAGCAGCAAGGCCAGGCGGACTGGGGACAGCAAGGTGTCATCATGCCCGGTAGTCCTGACGTATGGTCCTAGGGCTCAGGTTCTCAGAGAGAAAGAGAGAACGAGAGAATTAGAGAGAGCATACTTAAATTCACACAGGACACTGGATAAGACAGGAGAAGTACTCCAGGTATAACCAACTAACCCCAGCCCCCCGACACATAAACTACTGCAGCATAAATACTGGAGGCTGAGACAGGAGCGGTCCGGAGACACTGTGGCCCCATCCGAAGAAACCCCCGGACAGGGCCAAACAGGAAGGATATAACCCCACCCACTCTGCCAAAGCACAGCCCCCGCACCACTAGAGGGATATCCTCAACCACCAACTTACAATCCTGAGACAAGGCCGAGTATAGCCCACAGAGGTCTCCACCACAGCACAAACCAAGGGGGGGCGCCAACCCAGACAGGAAGATCACGTCAGTAACTCAACCCACTCAAGTGACGCACCCCTCCCAGGGACGGCATGAAAGAGCACCAGCAAGCCAGTGACTCAGCCCCTGCAACAGGGTTAGAGGCAGAGAACCCCAGTGGAGAGGGGAACCGGCCTGGCAGAGACAGCAAGGGCTGTTCGTTGCTCCAGAGCCTTTCCGTTCACCTTCACACTCCTGGGCCAGACTACACTCAATCATATGACCTACTGAAGAGATAAGTCTTCAGTAAAGACTTAAAGGTTGAGACCGAGTCTGCGTCTCTCACATGGGTAGGCAGACTGTTCCATAAAAATGGAGATCTATAGGAGAAAGCCCTGCCTTACTAATGCTCTTGTGGCTGAATGGAAACAAGTCCCCGCAGGAATGTTCCAACATCAGGTGGAAAGCCTTCCCAGAAGAGTGGAGACTATTATAGCAGCAAAGGGGGGACCAACTCCATATTAATGCCCATGATTTTAAGAAGGAAATGTTATACGAGCAGGTGTCCACATACTTTTGGTCATGTAGTGTAACATCTTCAATATGCGCCTCGAAATTCGATAAGAGGGTTACGTTCCCTGATGTGTCTGTCTTCTTAGCTGAAATGCCTGTGAGAAGGATCCGATCATGTGACGGGCATTGGCTAATAGGAATTGAGATATCTGAGAGAGCCATATGAGTGAGAGGTGCTTCTAAGCACGGCAGCCGTGAGAAGGGAATTATAATTATTATATTCAGCCCAAGGGCACAATGGCCACTTTGGCATGGATTTTTTTACGGGGCATTACGGCCACACAAGGGGGATGCCACCGGGAAATGTAAGGCCTGGTGAGAATATTATCAAGTGCTTGTCAAATTTTGAATGAGAGACTGATGAAGTGTGTGCAGCCTGCACAAGAAACAAATCAGTGCTCGTGCATTTCATGCAACTTTTTTCAAAGCATCATTAGTCGCATCGTGCAGCCTTAAAATGTATAACAAATCTAAACATATAGCCCAATGTTTGTATCACAACTAAAGTTGCATAAATAACAGTTTATTTGTTAACCACTCAACAACATAGCCGCATGTGCGCTCTTCCTTGGAAATCGTTTGGAGAAAATATCCTTTCAATTTTATTCAGCTATGTTCAATCTTCATACTATAAAATAAGAAAATATTATGCCACGGACTTCTAAGCAAATCTTGTCTGCTAAATTAACTAGTGTAGCCCACAGCCATATGGCATAGCCAGATCAGGGCCTAACATAAGGACAACTCGGAATATGCTATTCTGTTCTTCTGAAATAGACTACATATTCTTCATGTTTCTTTAGACCTGTTTAAAATAAATATTGGATTTATTGTGACAGTGTAGGCTATATTAAATTGATTTATTCTACTTTTTTAAATGTAGATGTTCCAAAGGTCTGAATCAGTGGCTTGTAGGCGATGGGTGGAAGCCAGGAGATGCTAAACTTGTTAATGTTAGTTAACGGTCAATTAACGTGAGACTGGCAGTTATTTATTTGACAATCACCGGCTGACAACATTTCATGACCGCCACTGCCCTAGAAGTGAGGCCATCTTTATATCACTAAATACAGTGCATTTGGAAAGTATTCAGACCCCTTGACTTTTTCCACATTTTGTTACGTTACAGCCTTATTACGTTACATGTTTTTTTCCTCATCAATCTACACACAATACCCCATAATGACAAAGCAAAAGCAGGTTTTTAGACATTTGTGGTATTTATAAAAAAATTTAAACTGAAATGTAACATTTACATAAGTATTCAGACCCTTTACTCAGCACTTTGTTGAAGCACCTTTGGCAGCGATTACAGCCTAGAGTCTTCTTGGGTATGACCCTACAAGCTTGGCACACCTGTATTTGGGGAGTTTCTCCCTTTCTTCACTGCAGATCTTCTCAAGCTCTGTCAGGTTGGATGAGGAGCATCGCTGCACAGCTATTTTCAGGTCTCTCCAGAGATGTTTGATCGGGTTCAAGTCCGGGCTCTGGCTGGGCCACTCAAGGTAATTCAGAGACTTGTCCCGAAGCCACTCCTGCGTTGTCTTGGCTGTGTGCTTAGGTTCGTTGTCCTGTTGGAAGGTGAACCTTCACCCCTGTCTGAGGTCCTGAGCGCTCTGGAGCAGGTTTTCATTAAGGATCTCTCTGTATTCCCTCGATCCTGGAGGAACTCTGGAGCTCTGTCAGAGTGACCATTGGGTTCTTGGTCACCTACCTTAGTCATTATGGGTTATTGTGTGTAGCTGGATGAGGAAAACATGTAATTTAATCCATTTTAGAATAAGGTTGTGACGTAGCAAAATGTGGAAAAGGTCAAGGGGTCTGAATACTTTCCGAATGCACTGTATGTCACGGTTAGGCGTGTCCGAGCATACGTGCCCTGTCCGAGCACAAAGACAACGCGCTAGGTTGGCTATTGGTTAGCTGTAGGTTAGCTGTAGGTTAGCTGTAGGTTAGCTGTAGGTTAGCTATATGTTAGCTGTAGGTTAGCTATTGGTTAGCTGTAGGTTAGCTGTAGGTTAGCTATAGGTTAATAGAATACAGTTTGATACTCTTATGTCTATTGGATGCCATATTCTCGTTGGCTGTCATTTTGATCAGATGGGTAAATCAACAGTCAGACGGAATTTAGGTGTTTGTACATATGATTGTAGGGTTGTAGTTATAGAGTATTAAACTACATGTTAATATGGTATGCCAGTTTGATTGACAGCTGTATTGATGTCCCTGTTTGTCCTTCCTCAGGGATCATCTCTACGTTCCTCCATGTCCACCCGTTTGGAGCCAGCATCGAGTACATCTGCTCTTATCTACAGCAGCTGGACTCCAAGGTACTGCTGGCACACACACACACACACACACACACACACACACAGTGAGATGAGCAGCAGGAGCTGTCCTGGCACCCTCAAAAGAGCCCCCAAAGTGAACCAAACTGAGACCATCTTGAGAGGTGGTCTGAGTTCGGTTCGCTTGAATTCCGCGGTCCGGTTCCCTTTTTTAGGGCAATGTGAACACAAAGCTCCCCAGGTTCGCTTGTCATTATTCCCGCAACACACACTAGACTATTGCAACACCATTTCCCCTGCCATAACCCCTCACATTGGTGCCACAAAAGAGCGAAGATGATGTGCAGGTTCTCGTTTAAAAAAAAATGTCTGCTGTTTTTGGATATTGATTAGCTATTGTCAAGGATGCACAGAAATGCCAAAATATGTGTTTTTAGTTCAGATTATTAGTTTGCTATATGTGATCTATTAGGCTAAGAGAGCTTCATACACTGTTTATTCGATTGTGGGGGTTGAATAGTGTGATTGAGACTTGGGTTAAGTTACACTTTATGAACTCCCGAGTGGCGCAGTGGTCTAAGGCACTGCATCTCAGTGCTTGAGTTGTCACTACAAACCCCCTGGTTCGATTCCAGGCTGTATCACAACCGGCCGTGATTGGGAGTCCCATAGGGCGGCGCACAATTGGCCCAGCGTCGTCCGGGTTTGGCCGGTGTAGGCCGTCATGGTAAATAATAATTTATTCTTAACTGACTTGCCTAGTTAAATAAAGGTAAAATAAATAAAAATAGTGTGAGAAGACAACATATTTGGTGAAAATCTCAACATAGGTTACAAAATCAATTATAGCTCTTAAAGGGGCAGTAGCCTACATTGGGTGTACAGTTTTCAATTACAGCATTATTTAATCTGCAGTTATTCTTCTGCTACTTATTCTGTTACTATTAACATGTAAATATTATATGTATCTTCTGATTACAATAACTATGTCTCATCATTTAACTTAAAGCAATCTAGTAGCTTCCAAAATGTAAGTAGGTATATCTAGCTGTTAGAAAACATGTTCTGATGGAATGGCTTATCCTGCACTTTGTAAAATACCCAGAGTGCATTGAGTGAATGTTGGAAAATAATCTTGATTCCTTTATAAACATAGCAATGTGAATACAAAGAGGACTCGGACCACAATTGAAGTGAACTGGCAAAATATTTTTTAGGTTTGAGGTTTAATTTTTTTCGCGCCAAAGAAAATAAGTGAAAGACAAAATGGTACAGGTAAAAACGGTGTGCAGGTGAGGTTGGAAGCCCAAAGGGGGTTGTATGAAAACCACACCACAAATATACAGTAAGTACAAAAAAAAAGTTAGCTCAATCAGTTAAACAAAACAGATTAATTATAATTGTACATGATATACTCAGTATACAAGAAAAACACTGTTTGATTATGTGTGTGTGTGTGCGCATGTGTGTGTGTGTGAGAGTGTGAAAGTTAGGCTACATGGAGGGGATTATTGGGTAGATTGGTTCATCAGGAAGACCCCCAGTCTTCGCTTTAAGTTATTGAGGGATGATGAGGTTTTGGCAATGTGAAGATAAGAATTCCAGAGTATGGTACCTCTGTATCTGAAAGAGAATTGACTATGTGAGGTGCGACAGTGGGGAGGTTGAAGGTTATCGCAGTGTCTTGTGTTATATAGATGGATTTCAGAATTAACCTGGAAAAATCCATTGAAGGGTTAAGATAAACTGTCTAAGTATGAATATTTGTAGATGAAAGTGCATAATTGGCGTATATTAATGTCGGAAATAGACAAGATATTGAGTTTCTTAAATGAAGGTGCAGAATGCAAAAATGTGTATGATGAGTAATTTGTGTAGGTAGGAGGCATATGTACTGGCACAGACAATATTACAGTAAATGAGATGTGGGTCAATGAAGCTATAGTAAAGAGTATAGAGCAAGCCTGATGAACCAAACCACTAATCTTTCTGAGGATACCAACAGATTTCATCACTTTGCTACAGACAAATTGAATATGATCTTTCCAGAATAACTTTGGCAATTTTCAAATCATCAGGAACAATACCAGTTTGCATAGATCTGGTGAAGATATACGTTAGAGGCTCAGTAATCGAGGAAGACACTGATTTCACCAAAGAGGCACCAATCACATCATGACCTGCTGCTGATATCTTTAGGTTACCAATTACCTCCATCACCTCCATTACATCAGGAGGATCAAACTGAAGCAGAGAAGGGAAATGTCCCTTAATGTAATCCAAGGGATTTCCATCAGTAGTCTCTATTTTCTTTGACAGCGAGGAACCCACATTCACAAAAAAGTTATTAAATTCACATGAAATAACATCAGGATCACTATAGGTCTTGTTTCCAACAATAAATTAAGATGGAATAGTTGTAGATGGCTTTTTCTTATTCAACAGTTGATTGATGATTTTCCATTTTTACTTTATATTATTTAAGGATTCTGTTAGTCAATTTGTTAGTCAAATATATTTTTGGGGATATCCAAAGTAGGTGAGTAAATTTGTTCATATACTTTTTGTAATTTGCAGAATTCAGGGGAGAGGGTTTTTTGAGAAACCTTTTATAAACATTTTTTTTTTTTACTGAGGATTTCTTGAGAACGGTTGTAAAACAAGTTTTCCAGAACCCTTCTGCTGCTCTCTTATGTGGTTTAACAAAGGGAAAGCAGTGGTGAAATACAGAGTTGGAAGATGTGAAAAAAATCCTGTAAGCAGACTCGACATCGGCCTGATTATAAAAACGTTGTTATGAAATATCACCAATAAACATCTTAAAGCGCTCACAATTACTTTTGTTAAATATTCTACATTTAATGCTACTAATCATCCCCATCTATTCATTTCCAGCTGCCAAATATACGTTTTAAATTGGAAAGTGGTCAGAAATGTCAATACAAAGTATATCTGTATTAGCCACATTATTCAAAGAATTTGTAAAAATATTATCAATAAGGGTGGCAGATGAACTGGTCACCCTTGTGGGCTTATAAATGAGGGGATACAGATAGCTGGAGTATAAAGTATTTAAAACATCTGATGTCAGTGAGTGGTTCCCACTTTTAAATAAATTTATGTTGTAATCACCCAATAGAAAACACATTTTATCTTAATTATTAATCAAATCCAAGGTTGATGCAAGGATATCAAGGAAACTACCAATTTCAGAATCGTGGGGTCGATAGATGCATCCAATTACCACTTTTTTACCACCAGAAAATGAACACAAGGGGAATTTCTATGAAAAGAGATTAAACATCAATGTTATCAGATGTAAGTGCGAAGTCCTCTCTGACAAATAATTGAAAACGTAAACTTATGAACAAAAATGGTCACTCCTCCTCCCACTCTTGAAGTTCACAGTGGTGAACAGCATTATAAGGAGACATGTCATAAAGCATGGTTGTCTCTTCAGTCAACCATGTTTCTGAAAGGACAACAATGGAACATTCATAACTGAGAGAAGACAGATAATGAACAAGGTGGTCATGATTTTTAGGAAGACTGCGAACGTTCAAATGAAAGGTAGAAAATAAGCTTGGAATTAGATAAGCTGCTGTACAGGTTGTTAAATTTCTTAACATTACAGTAATCACAAGTGATATACACTACCAGTCAAAAGTTTGGACACACTTACTCATTCAAGGGTTTTTCTTTATTTTTACAATTGTTTACATTGTAGAAAATAGTGAAGACATCAAAACTATAAAATAACACATATGGAATCATGTAGTAAACAAAAAAGTGTTAAACAAATCAAAATATATTTTATTTTTGAGGTTCTTCAAATAGCCACCTTTGCCTTGGCATTCAACATCACTGTCTGTGATACTTATTTCTGGTAAATTTCAGGAAATTTGAATCTGGATCAACACAATCATTATATTTATCATTCGCTTCATTAATATCTAATGGGTTGACGGCCACGTTATCAGGGTTGATATCCTGCCCATCTAAGAGAGATACACAGTCGGAATCACCCAGAAAGTGGAACGGAAACATAGAAGTGCATGCCTCACATGTCCAATACAACCGTACATTTGTGTTAGTTTTATCAATAGGGGTGCACTTCCTATGGAATGCACATTGACACAGTCCACATAACACCACTGAAGACTTCAGAGGGTTATGACATTTAGAGCAATGTGTTTTTGGTCATGAAGTTTGAGTTGGGTCCTCATTCAAAGGCAAGGGCAGTGTGAATACAAAGATAACTGAGTTATTTTGCTTCTTTTTTTTTACCCCAGTTCACTTTAAAGAGGACTGAGATCGGTTATTTTAAAGAGGACTACAGTCGTGGTCAAAAGTTTTGAGAATGACACAAGTATTGGTCTTCACAAAGTTCGCTGCTTCAGTGTTATGAGATATTTTTGTCAGATGTTACTATGGAATACTGAAGTATAATTACAAGCATTCTAAGTGTCAAAGGCTTTTATTGACAATTACATTAAGTTTATGCAAAGAGTCAATATTTGCAGTGTTGACCCTTCTTTTTCAAGACCTCTGCAATCCGCCCTGGCATGCTGTCTCGGCCACATCCTGACTGATGGCAGCCCATTCTTGCATAATCAATGCTTGGAGTTTGTCAGAATTTGTGGGTTTTTGTTTGTCCACCTGCCTCTTGAGGATCGACCACAAGTTCTCAATGGGATTAAGGTCGATGTTTTGTTCCCCAAGCCACTTAGTTATCACTTTTGCCTTATGGCAAGGTGCTCCATCATGCTGGAAAAGGCATTGGTCGTCACCAAACTGTTCTTGGATGGTTGGGAGAAGTTGCTCTCGGAGGATGTGTTGGTACCATTCTTTATTCATGTGTGTTCTTACCTTGGCTGAGAAGCAACCCCACACGTGAATGGTCTCAGGATGCTTTACTGTTGGCATGACACAGGCTGATGGTAGCGCTCACCTTGTCTTCTCCGGACAAGGTGTTTTCCGGATGCCTCAAACAATCGGAAAGGGGATTCATCAGAGAAAATGACTTTACCCCAGTCCTCAGCAGTCCAATCCCTGTACCTTTAGCAGAATATCAGACTGTCCCTGATGTTTTTCCTGGAGAGAAATGGCTTCTTTGCTGCCCTTCTTGACACCAGGCCATCCTACAAAAGTCTTCACCTCATTGTGTGTGCAGATGCCTAAGCAAGCTCTGCACTGGTGGTGCCCCGATCCCGCAGCTGAATCAACTTTAGGAGATGGTCCTGGCGCTTGCTGGACTTTCTTGGGTGCCCTGACGCCTTCTTCACAACAATTGAACCTCTCTCCTTGAAGTTCTTGATGATCCGAAAAATGGTTGATTTAGGTGCAATCTTACTAGCAGCAATATCCTTGCCTGTGAAGCCCTTTTTGTGCAAAGCAATGATGACGGCACGTGTTTCCTTGCAGGTAACCATGGTTAACAGGGGAAGAACAATGATTTCAAGCACCACCCTCCTTTTAAAGCTTCCAGTCTGTTACTCTAACTCAATCGGCATTACAGAGTGATCTCCAGCCTTGTCCTCGTCAACACTCTCACCTGTGATAACGAGAGAATCACTGACATGATGGCAGCTGGTCCTTTTGTGGCAGGGCTGAAATGCAGTGGAAATGTTTTTTGGGGATTAAGTTCATTTTCATGGCAAAGAGGGACTTTGCAATTAATTGCAATTTATCTGATCACTCTTCATGACATTCTGGAGGATATGCAAATTGCCATCATCAAAACTGAGGCAGCAGACTTTGTGAAAATTAGTATTTGTGTCATTCTCAAAACTTTTGACCACGACTGTAGATATGAAAACACCCTTACAGTACATTATCACACACTGTACACACACAACCAGCTGAGCAATAGAGGCATCCTGGCACCTTGCTACAAATCACACACACACACACAGTCACAGCGAGCTGTCCTGTCTCCTCGCTCTAACACACACAGCATGCCATGGATTAAGCATCCCCACTGGGTTGACATATGGGCCTGATGTATGCCAGAGCCCCACCGCGCAGTTTGAGCCTCCTGGCGCAGTCAGCCTTGAATCTCCTAGTGCAGGCAGAGCCCCATGGTGCAGGCAAAGTCTTCTTGTGCAGTTAGAGCTGTCTCGCCTAATATCAGGCCCTTGATGCAGGCTCCGCTTCAGGTTTGAGTTGGGATTGATGCTAAGGCAAGCCTTAGGGACTTTCCTCTCCTCTCACTCCCTCCATATACAGTGTATACTATTTCCTTGTATCTCCCATAGCTACAGTACTATAGACATGAATATAGGATATCTCTCTGTATCTCCCAGTGCTTCTGTACTATAGACATGAATACAGGATATATCTCTATCTCCCATAGCAACATTACTATAGACATGAATATATGATATCACTCTGTATCTCCCATAGCTACAGTACTGTAGATATGAATATAGGATATCTCTCTGTATCTCCCATAGCAACATTACTATAGACATGAATATATGATATCTCTCTGTATCTCCCATAGCTACAGTACTATAGATATGAATATAGGATATCTCTCTGTATCTCCCATAGCTATAGTACTATATACATGAATATAGGATATCTCTCTGTATCTCCCAGTGCTACAGTACTATATACATGAATATAGGATATCTCTCTGTATCTCCCATAGCTACAGTACTATAAACATGAATATAGGATATATCTCTATCTCCCATAGCAACATTACTATAGACATGAATATAGGATATCTCTCTGTATCTCCCATAGCTACAATACTATAGACATGAATAAGGATATCTCTGTATCTCCCAGTGCTCTTGAGGAAGTGTCTGAGTGTGATATCCCTGGACACTGAGACCTGGTACATCTGGTTCCTTCCTGTCTCTCCCTGACGGAGCAGAGCGGTTTAATTTATTCTGACACTTCGCTATAACACCCGTCTCCTCAGGGGCCTTTCTGGGTTCTCAGCTCTCCTCTGCTCTCGACTTTCAGATTGATTCTGTTCTTTTCTCTCATCCACATATGACCACTACGCTCACTGCCACCTCCGCAAGGAGGCCTTCAGATATACTATATGGCCACGCTCACTGCCACCTCCGCAAGGAGGCCTTCAGATATACTATATGGCCACGCTCACTGCCACCTCCGCAAGGAGGCCTTCAGATATACTATATGGCCACTCTCACTGCCACCTCCGCAAGGAGGCCTTCAGATATACTATATGGCCACTCTCACTGCCACCTCCGCAAGGAGGCCTTCAGATATACTATATGGCCACTCTCACTGCCACCTCCGCAAGGAGGCCTTCAGATATACTATATGGCCACTCTCACTGCCACCTCCGCAAGGAGGCCTTCAGATATACTATATGGCCACTCTCACTGCCGACTTCCGCAAGGAGGCCTTCAGATATACTATATGGCCACTCTCACTGCCACCTCCGCAAGGAGGCCTTCAGATATACTATATGGCCACTCTCACTGCCACCTACGCAAGGAGGCCTTCAGATATACTATATGGCCACTCTCACTGCCACCTCCGCAAGGAGGCCTTCAGATATACTAAATGGCCACTCAGACATGACTACTCTCACTGCTACCTCCATGAGGAGGCCCTCAGACATGGCTACTCTCACTGCCACCTCCATGAGGAGGCCCTCAGACATGACTACTCTCACTGCTACCTCCATGATGAGGCCCTCAGACATGACTACTCTCACTGCTACCTCCATGAGGAGGCCCTCAGACATGACTACTCTCACTGCTACCTCCATGAGGAGGCCCTCAGACATGACTACTCTCACTGCTACCTCCATGAGGAGGCCCTCAGACATGACTACTCTCACTGCTACCTCTATGATGAGGCCCTCTTAAACACTACATGACCAACATCTCATTCCAAAATCATGGGCATTGATATGGAGTTGGTTCCCATTTTTCTGCTATAACAGCCTCCATTGTTCTGGGAAGGCTTTCCACTAGATGTTGGAACATTGCTGCAGGGACTTGCTTCCATTCAGCCACATGAGCATTAGTGAGGTCAGGCACTGACGTTGGGCGGTTAGGCCCGCAGTCGGCATTCCAATTCACCCCAAAGGTGTTCGATGGGGTTGAGGTCAGGACTCTGTGCAGGCCAGTCAAGTTCTTCCACACCAATCTCGACAAACCATTTCTGTATGGACCTCGCTTTGTGCATGGGGGCATTGTCATGCTGAAACAGGAACGGGCCTTCCCCAAACTGTTGGAGAATGCATGTATGTCTGCTCGATTGTATACACCTGTCAGCAAAGGGTGTGGCTGGAATTTCCTAATCCACTAATTTGAAGGGGTGTCCACATACTTTTGTATATATTGTTTGACCACTCACCTCCAGCTCATTAAAACCTCTCTGCACTCATCAACAAACTGACTCATTCCTTTTCTCTCTGTTTGGGTTTTCCATTAAGGTCTGAGGGTGTGTTTGTTCCCACGCTGCCTCTCTGTAACACCACACAACAAGTCCACAGAGCTTTGTCAACAGTCCTGGCTGGATTCTCCACTAACAACATTACTCTCTACTTATCTACTGTGTCCATGATTCACTACTACATTGTTAATGATGATACACCATTGACATCTTCATGATAGTGTTTAATACATTCTGACAGGGTTTTACCCATCTGGTTCTTACAAGTGTTTTTTCTCTGTATATAATGATACAGTGCTTCCTGCTGTCATTGTTTTGTGTAATGTCACCTTTTTTAAGTGATGTTATATGCTAATGTGATGCTATTGCGTATGTACAGTGAGGGAAAAAAGTATTTGATCCCCTGCTGATTTTGTACATTTGCCCACTGACAAAGAAATTATCAGTCTATAATTTTAATGGTATGTTTATTTGAACAGTGAGAGACAGAATAACAACAACAAAAATCCAGAAAAACGCATGTAAAAAATGTTAGAAATTGATTAACATTTTAATGAGGGAAATAAGTATTTGACCCCCTCTCAATCAGAAAGATTTCTGGCTCCCAGGTGTCTTTTATACAGGTAACGAGATGAGATTAGGAGCACACTCTTAAAGGGAGTGCTCCTAATCTCAGCTTGTTACCTGTTTAAAAGACACCTGTCCACAGAAGCAATCAATCAATCAGATTCCAAACTCTCCACCATGGCCAAGACCAAAGAGCTCTCCAAGGATGTCAGGGACAAGATTGTAGACCTACACAAGGCTGGAATGGGCTACAAGACCATCGCCAAGCAGCTTGGTGAGAAGGTGACAACATTTGGTGCGATTATTCGCAAATGGAAGAAACACAAAATAACTGTCAATCTCCCTCGGCCTGGGGCTCCATGCAAGATCTCACCTTGTGGAGTTGCAATGATCATGAGAACGGTGACAAATCAGCCCAGAACTACACGGGAGGATCTTGTCAATGATCTCAAGGCAGCTGGGACCATAGTCACCAAGAAAACAATTGGTAACACACTACGCCGTGAAGGACTGAAATCCTGCAGCGCCCGCAAGGTCCCCCTGCTCAAGAAAGCACATATACAGGGCCGTCTGAAGTTTGCCAATGAACATCTGAATGATTCAGAGGAGAACTGGATGAAAGTGTTGTGGTCAGATGAGACCAAAATCGAGCTCTTTGGCATCAACCCAACTCACCGTGTTTGGAGGAGGAGGAATGCTGCCTAAGACCCCAAGAACACCATCCCCACCCTCAAACATGGAGGTGGAAATATTATGCTTTGGGGGTGTTTTTCTGCTAAGGGGACAGGACAACTTCACCGCATCAAAGGGACGATGGACGGGGCCATGTACCGTCAAATATTGGGTGAGAACCTCCTTCCCTCAGCCAGGGCATTGAAAATGGGTCGTGGATGGGTATTCCAGCATGACAATGACCCAAAACACACGGCCAAGGCAACAAAGGAGTGGCTCAAGAAGAAGCACATTAAGGTCCTGGAGTGGCCTAGCCAGTCTCCAGACCTTAATCCCATAGAAAATCTGTGGAGGGAACTGAAGGTTCGAGTTGCCAAACATCAGGCTCGAAACCTTAATGACTTGGAGAAGATCTGCAAAGAGGAGTGGGACAAAATCCCTCCTGAGATCTGTGCAAACCTGGTGGCCAACTACAAGAAACGTCTGACCTCTGTGATTGCCAACAAGGGTTTTGCCACCAAGTACTAAGTCATGTTTTGCAGAGGGGTCAAATACTTATTTCCCTCATTAAAATGCAAATCAATTCATAACTTTTTTTACGTGTTTTTCAAGATTTTTTTGTTGTTATTCTGTCTCTCACTGTTCAAATAAACCTACCATTAAAATTATAGACTGATCATGTCTTTGTCAGTGGGCAAACATACAAAATCAGCAGGGGATCAAATACTTTTTTCCCTCACTGTAGGTGTGGTTTGTGATGAGTATTGTGTTGGTGTTGGCGTTTGTCACTCAGATCAGTTCTTCTGAGATGTGGGGCTCTTTGAGTCTGTAGGAGTGTTTATCAAATCTGTGTGTTACGTTTGTATTGTGATTGTATCTGTGGGTGTGTGTCAGTGTATGTATAAAATCTGTGTATTTACATTAAGTGTGTGTGTGTGTGTGTTTCAGATAAACACCGGACAGGTGGGGGCTCTACTGGGTCGGCTGCCCTGTACCTTCAGACAGGAGCTGACAGGGGTGGGCGCCAGCCTGGAGAAACGCTGGAAGTTCTGTGGTTTCGAGGGCATCAAGACCACATAGAGCATTACAGAGACACGGAGGACATCACAGGGACACAGAAGAAACAGCATTAAGCTGCATTATGAGGACACTGAGGAAACAGCAAAGAGGTCAGGCTGTCTTCTGAGCACAATGAGAATACAGCATCTGTATACGTGACAGAGAGGGTGACTCGTCTCCTGTGTGACAGAGACCTCTGTAACACCTCCAACACCGCACTGCTCTGCTCCGTGTCCAACTCTGCAAAGCCTCATGGGATAGAACACTGGGAGTCCCAGAGGAGTATCAGTCCAAAGGTGCCAGGGGATTGGCTGTTAGTCCATCACATGGGCGGGCTGAACTGTTCTCAGAGCCTCTAATTGGTTAACTCTGCTGTCAATCAGCCAGGACTACTACCCAGGGCCACGTTCAGTTGCCAAACATTGTTGGAAGTTGCAAATAGAAATGCCATGAATAGAGCCAACTTGATTTCTTGGTCTACATGTCGGAGAGGCATGTTTGTTCTATATTACACATTTCTATCTGAACATTCCAAAATGCTGTGTCCTGCTGAACGTGCCCCAGGGAGGATATCAGGGTCTGCTGAACACGTTCAATCTCCAACCCCTTTTGCCTTGCTCACTTCTCTCTTTTTGTTCCTTGTTTGGGCAATTATATAAATAAAATTAATATATTACCATACTTTCTGTATGGGCACAAAGGACTCATCGTCATACCAGATGATTTCAGGAGCTATCAGGTGGTTGTTGTTTGTTTTCCATGTGAACCAACTGTGTATTCAGTTTTAATTTAGTAGTCAGTGCTCTTTGTTTGAACTCAAAGAATGATCAAGGCCCAAAAATCAGCATTTCTTATGCCCAAGTCCAGGTAGTCCCTCCCCGCTTCAGTCTGTATTTTTCTGTTTGGTACCTAATGAACACGACCCTGGTGAACATAATGGACTTCCAGCTGTTGGAAGGGGTAATAGTGTTTTTATGAGTAGACCTTCACGTGGTAGGTAGGGGTGGCATGTATCCTAGTGATTGGAACGTTGGGCCAGTAACCGAAAAGTCTCTAGTCGAATCCCGAGCTGACAAGGTGAAAAAGCTGTTGATGTGCTCTTGAGCAAGGCACTTAACCCTAATCGCACCAGGTTCGCTGTTGATAATGGCAGACCCTAGCTATGATCCCACTCTCTGAGGGTGTATGCTAAAAACACATTTCCAATTAAAACGTGTATTAATACACACTTGTACATGTGTGAAATAGGACAAATATAAGCACCACATCTTCACATATTGCATAGTGCCCCTGGAGCAAGTTAGGGTTAAGTGCCTTGCTCAAGGGCACATTGACAGATGTTTTCACCTTGTCAGCTCGGGTATTCAAACCAGGGGCCTTTTGGTTATTGGCCCAACGCTCTTGCCGTTACTTGACCAGCCAATCATTTGATGTAGTTCTTTGCAACATACATACTGTTTGTATCGTTATTTCAAGATGTTTGGTGAAGTGCGTTTTGATAAAAAATGTAGTTTGATGACACAATGATGTGATTTGTTTTGTCAGAGGGTAAACATGATTTACATGCATCTCAAACAGCTTATAGAAGAACAGTAGGTGGTTTTGCAGTGCGTAAATGGGAACAACCATATCCTGAAATACGGTGTATTCATCATATCATTGGTGGCATTCCAGGTCAACATTTTTTGCAGGCTGCTATATCATATTAATGTGGTTCGTGAGCAGAGGTGACACCACAGGTCTCAGAGTGGTGTGGCAAAAAAAGAACATCTGGGGCCTGTAGTTTTTCCTGATCTGGTACTCTACCAAGGTAAAACTCCGGACCTTATACAGTATGATGTGATTAATCTATTGTTAAAAGGTTTAATATGGGCTATGATGGGACCCAAGGTTTTCTAATCAGGTCAAATGTTTTTTTTTAAACTCCTAGAAAAACTCCTGGCCTTGGGGAGGATGAAAACGCTGTCAAACTGCAGCAACCTTGTACTGTTCATATGAATTATATTTTTTAAGAAGGACTAGGGGGGTTTCCTATACACAGAGAAAGCAACATGATTGGACAATTAAACTCACGGAGCTTGCTTTATGCACGTTTGCATCTTGTAGTCCTGCACTATGCAACTGTAGACCTAATTAAACTAGGGTCCGAGGAGGTCTGTGGTAAAAATATTTTGGGGGGATTTTTTTAAATGTGACAAATAATGATTTATGAATATTGCTAGCTGCAACAAAATAACATAGTGGATAGCATTTCTATGTCTCTGTGTTCAGTATGAAGGAAGTTAGAGGTAGTTTCACGAGCCGATACTAACTAGCAATAGCACAATGACTGGAAGTCTACAGGAACAGTTAGCAGGTTAGCTGTTCCTTTTCTTATATTTACATTTTAGTCATTTAGCAGACGCTCTTATCCAGAGCGACTTACAGTTAGTGAGTGCATACATTATTTTATTTTTATATACTGGACCCCGTGGGAATCGAGCCCACAACCCTGGCATTGCAAACGCCATGCTCTACCAACTGAGCTACAGTGGTGGAAAAAAGTATTTAGTCAGCCACCAATTGTGCAAGTTCTCCCACTTTAAAAGATGAGAGAGGCCTGTAATTTTCATCATAGGCACACGTCAACTATGACAGACAAAATGAGGAAAAAAAATCCAGAAAATCACATTGTAGGATTTTTTATGAATGTATTTGCAAATTATGGTGGAAAATAAGTATTTGGTCAATAACAAAAGTTTCTCAATACTTTGTTATATACCCTTTGTTGGCAATGACACAGGTCAAACGTTTTCTGTAAGTCTTCACAAGGTTTTCACACACTGTTGCTGGTATTTTGGCCCATTCCTCCATGCAGATCTCCTCTAGAGCAGTGATGTTTTGGGGCTGTCGCTGGGCAACACGAACTTTCAACTCCCTCCAAAGATTTTCTATGGGGTTGAGATCTGGAGACTGGCTAGGCCACTCCAGGACCTTGAAATGCTTCTTACGAAGCCACTCCTTCGTTGCCCGGGCGGTGTGTTTGGGATCATTGTCATGCTGAAAGACCCAGCCACGTTTCATCTTCAATGCCCTTGCTGATGGAAGGAGGTTTTCACTCAAAATCTCACGATACATGGCCCCATTCATTCTTTCCTTTACACGGATCAGTCGTCCTGGTCCCTTTGCAGAAAAACAGCCCCAAAGCATGATGTTTCCACCCCCATGCTTCACAGTAGGTATGGTGTTCTTTGGATGCAACTCAGCATTCTTTGTCCTCCAAACACGACGAGTTGAGTTTTTACCAAAAAGTTCTATTTTGGTTTCATCTGACCATATGACATTCTCCCAATCCTCTTCTGGATCATCCAAATGCACTCTAGCAAACTTCAGACGGGCCTGGACATGTACTGGCTTAAGCAGGGGGACACGTCTGGCACTGCAGGATTTGAGTCCCTGGCGGCGTAGTGTGTTACTGATGGTAGGCTTTGTTACTTTGGTCCCAGCTCTCTGCAGGTCATTCACTAGCTCCCCCCGTGTGGTTCTGGGATTTTTGCTCACCGTTCTTGTGATCATTTTGACCCCACGGGGTGAGATCTTGCCCCAGATCGAGGGAGATTATCAGTGGTCTTGTATGTCTTTCATTTCCTAATAATTGCTCCCACAGTTGATTACTTCAAACCAAGCTGCTTACCTATTGCAGATTCAGTCTTCCCAGCCTGGTGCAGGTCTACAATTTTGTTTCTGGTGTCCTTTGACAGCTCTTTGGTCTTGGCCATAGTGGAGTTTGGAGTGTGACTGTTTGAGGTTGTGGACAGGTGTCTTTTATACTGATAACAAGTTCAAACAGGTGCCATTAATACAGGTAACGAGTGGAGGACAGAGGAGCCTCTTAAAGAAGAAGTTACAGGTCTGTGAGAGCCAGAAATCTTGCTTGTTTGTAGGTGACCAAATACTTATTTTCCACCATAATTTGCAAATAAATTCATAAAAAATCCTACAATGTGATTTTCTGGAGAAAAAAAATCTCAATTTGTCTGTCATAGTTGACGTGTACCTATGATGAAAATTACAGGCCTCTCTCATCTTTTTAAGTGGGAGAACTTGCACAATTGGTGGCTGACTAAATACTTTTTTTCCCCACTGTACATCCCTGCCGGCCATTCCCTCCCCTACCCTGGGCCAATTGTGCGCCGCCCCATGGGTCTCCCGGTCACGGCCTGCTACGACAGAGCGGTAAGTGGTAATTTTCGGGATGGAAAAATAGTTTCAGTGTCAACTCAAATGACCAAAAACAGATAGAAAGCATACAGAAAATATATTTTTTGTGAACAATTATTTATTTGTTTTTATTTTTGCTTGTGCTAAACAGTTACAGTTTCAAGATACAATACATACAAATACTGTATGTACAGTTCAATAGGGGGAAAAACAAACAAATGTAAAAAACAAACAAAAAACAACACCATACAAATGAAAAAGGACAAAACAAAACAGATTAAAGACGAATGGGTTTCAGTATTTCTAAATTCAGTCAGTCCATTCAAATCTCATTCTCAAATCTACCAACCCAGAGACACAAAGAAAAAAGACAGAGCAGGGCAGTTCTATCTCCCATCCGCAAAACCAAACGTTATTAAATTAGCTCTTATAAGTGGGAAATAGCATTTTACCAATTGACCAGAGTTGCGGGCTTGGCCCCACGCAGTCTGGCAGTGGATCTTTCCAGCTGCGCAATGTCCGAGTACATAAACAACCAAAATCTGCAAAGGGCAATACCCAGTTCAAACCAACTCCTTAAAATAGTTTTTATGCCTGCTGTTATTGCAGCCATAACAATCTGCCTCTCTTGATAAGACAACAACATGCTAGGGCTGCAACCCAGCAGCAGGAGGGATGGGCAAACAGGTAGGTTCCTGCCAATAATACCATTTAAAACACTAACAACATGAACCCAAAGACACTTCCCTGGTACACAGCTCCAAAACATATGCATATAATTGCCCACCTCAGATTGGGCACCTACTATCAGACCCCGTTCA